ATTGGGGTGGATGTTATGTTTTGGTATATATATTTCTGACTTTACAGGAAAAAATGTTTTATTTTGGTCTATCTTGAAATGTTGTAGATTACTGTTCATAGGCTTTTGTAACGTGATTTTCTGCAGTGTTATTCAGCTGACACTAACACACTTGTGCCCTTGAATTCTGTTCACACTAATGCTAATACTAATACTGGAGGGAGGATTGGTTCAAACAAAGTTTGGTGTTTTACCAAGGTCCTCCCTTGGCATTGACAGAAAAATATTCATAGTACTTTGGTATTTGGATGGAATTTTTACAAAGGCTAAGTTTTTATAGTTGACTTTTGCCAATTAGAAATTGTTTACTGCTAAGCTTATTCTCTGTTACTTTTTGAATAAACACATAAGAAAATCACAGAGGGCTATTTTTCATTGTGAAATTGATAGTTTATTACATATTTTACAGAAATCATTCTATTAAACTCCAGAAAAATAAATTTAGGATTAACCATTCTATTAAAATAAAGTTTTATTTTCTTAATATCTGTTCTTAAAATCATATGTATTTGGTATGTGAGTAGATGATAATAATTCAAGATTTCTGTATTGTTCTAAAATGACCTACGGAAAGAAGAAGCTTTATGAAGTAATGGGAACATCATGGAGAAAATTATTGTAATTATAGTGAAACTACAAATAATAAATAAACCTTCTCCATCACTTAAAGGAACAAGTCCCAGCTTTTCAGTTAAGAACTGATAGTCTGTGGTCAGCTAACCTTTCTAGCGCTAAAGACTATAATTGCTTGTTTCTTCCTCTGCTCATACTTATAATACTTCTGACACCAGATATGTGAGTTTTTTCCCCCCACACACGACCAATTCTCCAACACCAGCTGGGTGTTCTACAATTCTGATACCATCTACCTGGAGTTAGCATCAAACCCCACAGGCTAAATGCTCAGTCCCATAAGATTGCCCCTACCTTAGACACCAATCACAAGTAGTGGGTCCCCAGGTTACCCACATTCTGTCTGACTTGGCTACAACAAATTGGGTTTCTCAAGACCCCCTCAAGTTTGATCATTTGCTATAATGGCTCATAACTCAGGGAAACACTTACTTTTACTGGTTTATTATATAATAAAGGCTATGATAAAGTATGTACAGCCAGATGGAGAGGTATATAGAGCAAGGTCTGGAAGGGTCCCAAGCCAGGAGTTTCTGTTATGTGGAGTTGGGGTGCACCACCCTCCTAACATGTGGATATGTTCACCAACCTGGAAGCTCCCCAAACCTTGTATTTTAGGGATTTTTATGGAGGTTTCATCAGGTAGGCCTGATTGATTATTAACTTAATCTCCAGTCCTTATGTCTCCCTGGAGGATGGGAGGTAGGGCTCAAAGTTCCAAGCTTCTCATCATGGCTTAGTCTTTCTGATGACCAGTGGCCCATCCTGAAGCTATTTAGGAACCCCAGAGTCAGCTCCTTAGAGCAAAATATGTTCCTGTCAAGCTAGGATATGCCAAGTGATATAGGAACTCTCTGTCAGGAACTGTGTCAGAGACCAAATATTAGAACAAAAGATGCTCCTAGTGTCTTATCTTGCTCTTTGAATGGATTGTTTATCCATGCATGATTTAATAACACAGCGCATTGGTAATTTGGAAAAGGTTTTCTTCCAAATGTTGGAAGAAAGTCTACATTATAAAACAAATAGAAATTGTTAATATCACTCGATTTCGCCAGAAAAGCCTTTTAAGTATTGGGAAGATGTCAAGCTCATAGTGGTAGAAACAAGTTTTCTGAAGTTTCAGTTTTTGCTTGAAAATTCCATGCTAATCATTGGCAACAAATACTCTTCATTTGTTCTTCAAGTGACAGGCTCACTTTATTTTTCAGAAAATGTCTGCCAAATACTGATGTCTGAATAATCATAGTTTGTAGTTTGTCAGTTGTTCTTTCAAGTAAAAATAGTGCTCCATGAAAAAAAATCAGTTCAGCTTGCAACTCAAGCAGTGTTCTAGTGTTTTTCTTTACCAACAGAATACTTTGGATATACAGCAGAAGTACTATGCATACTTTCTATTTTGTCACATAGAATTAAAAGAACATGTAAAACAATGTTTGAGATTTAATAAAATTAGTTTCCTCATTTTATCAAGAATTTAAGAGAGACTGGCTTTTTTTTTTTTTTTTTTGAATAATGGGTGTGCATAGTTGTAATATAATTAACTTGATGCTACTGCCTTGATTTGTGCTAAGATGCTGTGGTTTTATGCACTGTTGTTTTGCATAATCACTGCAAATGTGACCCCAGTAGGAAAGGCAAATAACATCTTAGTATTATTATGAGAGTATTTTTTATTTAAGGAACCCCTTCCTTCATAGGGTCATTGGGGATCCCAAGGATCCATGGATTACACTTGGATACTGCTAGTATGGAGGAAAGACCACTGGACTTAATAATTTGAAGACTTAAAGTTGAAGCCTGTGTATCATTCTTTATTCTTATACTATTAGACTTCATTTCTTGCAACTTCATTATCTCATTTATGAAATAGGGTTAAAAGCATCTTGCCTAGTTTTTTGCTTTTGTGTTGCTTGAGTTACGATTGCTAAATTGTGAAAAGTTCTAAGTATAACTTGTTGCCATTTCTAGGTGAGTTCTGCTCTAGCCAGTTTGGTTTACTTGTCAGTCATGAAACAGTAAACACTCTAGATAGTTCCAAAGAAGAAATTTAATACAGGGAACTAGGTTCTTTAAAAAATCAGTGGAAGCAATGGAGGAAGGATCTCTAGCTCAGCTTTCTGAAATGACTCCTAGATTCTTGCAGGACTGGCCAGCCAGGGAAGCCATTCCGTCTGCCACAGTCAGGAAGATAGTGAATCAGGAGACTGCCTTTGGGACTACAGGGTTCAAGAGCGTACATAGCTCTATAGCTACTGCCCAGGGAACAAGCAGCCCGGATTAGGTAACTGCCACTGAGCTGTGCCTGGGCATTGGAGTGCAGAGTCTGGTTACCACTTCTACTCTATCTCTTGACATACCTGAAGCTGTAAATTGGATACTGGATTGCTACTGTGGAACAGCCCACATTTCTTCAGTCATGCTGGAGAAAAACAGCCAAAAGCAGCAGGATAGTGGCTTCCCCCCTCAAGTCTGCCTTCCAAATCTCATGCTGTTGCATCCGATTGGTGGAACCTAAATTTTATCCAGAACCATAACTGCAGGTGAATCAGGAAAATAGGTTTTAATCTTTTCAGCTTCTGTAGTTGTAGAAGGCACACAAGGAGGATGAGAGATTGGAGTCTGAGGGCTAATTGATCGTGTCCCCAAAACGGCTTCTTTGTGATTTTCAGGTTATTTTCTTTACTTCCATTATTCTCTCTTTACTCACCCAAGTTCTAGTCATTATTTAATGATCATGATAGTTCTCATTTTTATGAGGCCACTTCATGCCTCTCCAGTCCTAGCTTCTTTATCAATATTTCAGCTGGACTGAATGACTACACCCAGGTGATATCCATCTACAGCTGTGGTTTGGTGGACTCGGAATTTGTAAACCAGAATTAGGAAACCTTTGGCCTGCTGACGTACGTATGCATGCTCCATCATTTCACTTGCTCTATAACTCTGTTCCACATTTTACTTGACTGAGTTTTTTGGACCTTATTTACTACATTTTTGTGAGGTTTTGTTATACTCTCTAAGAACATTAAAAAAATCTTCTGTGGCCAACTGTTGTTTTTAATATTCTCATAAGCTGCTGTTTGGAGAAAAAAGTGTATATAACAATAGAAGTAGACTTTTGAAACTATCAATATACTTTATTTTTTATTAAGTGCAAAATATTTTTTTTCTAGTAGTTATATATAACCCTGTAGCCAGATGGTAAAATGAAGACACTTTATCTCCCATCCCCAACCCTTTTGTTTGTTTCTCTCTTATAATATTCTAAGATTACAAAGAAAAAAATTAATTTTAACATGTCTCGAATACAAATAAACAAAGTGATTATAAAACTTGTCCAGGATACCAACCAGCATAATCCCAACTATGCAAAGATAAGGTAGTAACAGCTATACTTCTTTCTCTTTCTCATCCCATTATTTTGTAATATCCTACTTAGTAACATGTTATGGTCTATCATTGTTTAAATGATAATAGGAGTATAATTGACATCTTTTGAGGTAAGGAAATAAATCGATGTATATTGGGAAATTGGATTAAAAATCAGTTTTTTTGAATGTGGTAATAGTTGTAGACTTTATTCTTTGGAAGAAGAACACTTACAGCATCTAGACTACTTTATTTTATTCTAACAAAAGAAAACCTGTCATTTACTTGCATATTTTTCTTTTTTGTGAAATGAAAACTTTTTTTTTAATTAAAAGGAGTGCATAGAACATTAAATAGAAAGTGAAGGATCCTTATACTTCCTTCTCCCCATAACCCTCCTCATCAAAATTAACCACTGTTAACAGCTTCATACATTCATCCAGACTTTAAAAGTGTATATAAACATAGATATATATGGTCAATTAGTTTCTGAAACATAGCTTTTGAGAGCTCATTTAATTATTATACTTTAATAAATGTCTAGGTAGTATAGCCGACTGTAATGTTTGTGTATTTGGGTTGACTTCAGAAAGCATAAATATAAATGTTTAATTATGTTGGCTTCAGTTTTTGTTGTTAAAGAACCTGTTTTTAGCAGTCTTTCTGCTTATTAGCTTTTAATCAGAGACTTCATAGTAAATATTGAGATTCCTCTGTAATGAAAAATATTTATACTCTTAATTGCTTTAGGTATATTTTATAGAGAAGAACATTAAATTTCGAAGTATAACCAATTTAAAAAGTGTTTGCATTCTCTTCAGAGAGGCTCTTATACAGAATTAAGTTGGTGCTGACTTTGATTGGAAAGGGTATATTGGGTATAAAATCTCCATTATAAGAATTACCTTTCATTTTGTTTGACTTTTAATTTTGAGAAAGATAGTTTTGCTTTTCAGATGTGATTGATCTCACTGGAGATGATAAAGATGATCTTCAGAGAGCAATTGCCTTGAGTTTGGCGGAATCAAACAGGGCATTCAGGGAGACTGGAATAACTGATGAGGAGCAAGCCATTAGCAGGTAAAAATATAATTTGTATAAAGTAGATATAAATACTATTTATAATAGAAATAATAATTGACTTTAATTTGAAGAGGCACAAAGATATACTTTGCAATTCTAAATAAACTATTAATAAACTTAGTATTGTTTTTATATTTTATGTAACCCAGATTTTCTTATTCTAGATCCAATTGCATTTGAAACTTAGATTGTTTTTAGGATTTTGGAGTGGCATTGTGGGGCATTAAATTTAGGTATATATTTTAATATTTCTTTGATTTTTTTCTTTCTTCCCCTAATTCCTTTTGGATACATTGTCCAATTCAATTTATAGTCATTTATGGCCAGGGTCAACAAACTTTTTTCTGTAACGTGCCAGTGGTAAATACTTTAGGCTTTGTCAGCCATCTGGTTTCTGTTGCAGTTGCTCAACTCAAGTGTTGTAGTGTAAAAGCAGCCATCGATAATGCATAATTTAATGAGTGTGGCTGTGTTCCAGTAAATCTCGATTTACAAAAACAGAGGGCCAGCTGGATTTGGCCCATGGGCCATAGTTTGCCAACTTCTGATCTATAATATGATAGTATATTTATAGGTGTTTTGTTTTTTTTTTTTAAGAAATAAGATTCCAAGATGTGTGATGGAATGCTTTTTTTTTTTTTTTTTTTGTGGTACGCGGGCCTCTCACTGTTGTGGCCTCTCCCGTTGCGGGGCACAGGCTCCGGACGCGCAGGCTCAGCGGCCATGGCTCACGGGCCCAGCCGCTCTGCGGCATGTGGGATCTTCGCAGACCGGGGCACGAATCTGCGTCCCCTGCATCGGCAGGCAGACTCTCAACCACTGCGCCACCAGGGAAGCCCTGGAATGCATATTTTGATTTAATTACCAAAACTTTTTAGTTTGAAAAAATTTGATCCACCAAAGGATTAAATAAGTTTGATTTAAAAAATAAAACTTTAAATTATAACTAAACATAATCTTCTAAACAACTCTTTGGACCCAATGGTAAGTTTATCTTACTGAAGAAGAAATTTGTCTTTTAAGAGGTTAAATGATTTTCCAAAGGTACACAGCTAAGATGGGTCTTATGACTCCAGTGTTCTTTTCCCCTGTTAACAGAGTTGTTTGGTAGCAGAATGTACCAGCTTTCTTAGATAATTTCCCTTGGCACAATATTAATAGTACATTTCTTTCTGAGTAATCTGAGATTACCGTAGGAGATGCCTCAAAATGCTATGTTTAGCAAAGGCACATAATTTTTTGTAGTAATACTTTTTAATGTCTTTGTTACTTTGGAAACTGCTTTGTATAATAAGATATCAAGATGGCAAGCCTTAATTAAAATTCATTATCCTCTTTAGTTGTGGCTAATATCATTTAATACCAGTAATTTTAAATGAAAACCAAAAGTACATGTGCTAGTTTTAGACATTTTATTTAGGCTTATTTTTTGAAGGATTTGGAGAAATTATAAAGTTAGATTTTGTCTTATAAAAATGAATTGGAATGAAATACTTGTCTTGAATAATTATAAAATTTGAAAATACTTAAGCTTTATGAGAAATATTTTAAACATGAAATACAGCAGTTGCAATTCATATTTAAGGGGAATGATAATCTAGTATGTGAAAAAGATTATAAAATAGAATATATACTATGATACAAATATTTTTAAATGTATATATATTGTTATATATATTAATTTATATTAGTACATAAATAGAAAAAAGTCTGGAGGATTATATACCAAGTAGTGTCAGTAGTTTTGTACCCTGTGTTTTCTAATTAAAATAACATAATTAGATAATCAGTAAAAATAAATAAAAGTTAAGAAATTTAGATTATTCCTAATCTCTATTACAATATATGTTATATATTCTTTCAGATACTAATTTTTGTCCAAATGGAAAAAAAACTCTTTAAGTTAATGCCCTTTTTTTCCCTTGATCTTTTAATTTTAGTATACTCTTAAAATAGTAAATACTTTGCAAGTATTTTTATTGTAGATAGCATTGCAGAGAATTGGTATAGTGTAATATAACAAAATTTTATGTAAAATTATACTCAGAAGTAAAAAAAAAATAATTTACTGTTGCAAAATGTAATATTTTCCTTGATATGCATAGATTTTATAATATATAGTTAACAAAAAAAGTTAACTGCAACATTCAGTAAATAAGCACATTTATAAATCATATTATATTAGAAATAAGGGAATATGAGAATTCTAGTTAAGCATTTGACAAATATAACATTGCAGTGAGTTTTATTAAGGCTTAGACTCTAAATTCAAAAGGGAAAATGGTGAATTTTTTAAGGAAAACATTTATATATTATGCTTAAAAGTAAATTTATTTTTTCATTACCTAGTAAGTTCAGATGACAAAATCTTGCCAAGTAAAATCCTAGAATCATTTGACTATGGTTGTATTTCAGTATACATACTTTAATATGAATTCACACATTTGGAATACTGCATTATTGTGTACAACTAGATGAGATAAAACCTTTTTACATCTTACAGTCTTGTGTTCAGGCACCCATAAATTTCATGGTAAAATTTCTTAAGTCGAACATTTTACAAGTGTACTTCTTAATATAATTACTTCTTAATGTCAGGATTGGATGCATTTATTATAATTATCTTAGTTATCAGTGCACAGACAGGGAACAAGTAGAGTATGGATAGTAGAAATTTGTTAATAAACTGCATTGTGGCTAGTTTGTGTCTAGCATATTTGTTGTGAAAATGGCTTGCCTCATGAGATGACTTTGAATAAGTTGGGTAGAAGGTAGGGCTAGGTTCTAGTTAAAATTGTTACAAAGAGCACACCTTCAACAGTTTCAGGAAACATGGTAGATTAAAACAGATATTCTAGTGGAAACAACCAGAATGTGTTGTTTCTGTTGGATGTAAAATATTTTAAGATCTCTTGAAAGTATTATAGAATTGTTAAGATAGTAAGGGCTATAATCAGACTAAATCAAAGTGAAAGGTGGAACCCAAAGAAGGAAGTTCGGAATGCTGAAAGTCACTTTTTGACATGATGACATTTGCTTGTGTGTATAAATTTGAATTTCAGTTTTGATATCCTTGTTGAATGTGGGAAAAAGAAGTTAAAGGCCATTGTCTGTATTAGGTGGGAAGTTTTAATAAGAAATCATTCCCCTCGTAAAGTTATGTCAATGGATGACATATTCACAAATAAGGGTAAATCAGAACTATCCCCCCCTCTGAAACCCCTATAATACTACAAAGACAGTTGCCTTAGCTATGAGGAGTGTTGTTGGAGGGGATGAGATTTGCTCCTGAGAAGTTGTACCATGGTTGTACAGCTGAAATTTGTGTCACTTTAATGATTCAATAAATCTCTACTTGAAAAAGTACTGTGAAAATATCTTCTAGAAATGAAAATAAGAATTACTAAATTAAAAAAAAAGGAAAAGAAAAAACAGAACACAGGTTTAATAGCAGATTAGAAATAGCTGAAGAATGTATTAGTAGACTAAGCTATATGAGAAGAAATTATCCAGTGTGTAACAGATAGCTAAAAAGTTAAATAATATGGAGAAAGGTTGAATGACACGGAGAATAAAATGAGTAGGTCTAACATACATTAATTGGTGTTACAGAAGAAGAGGAGGGAGTGAGTCAGAGGCAAAATTTAAAGTGATAATCACAGAACTTTTTAGAAGTGAAGAGATAACTTGTAATTTCATGAGCCAACAAATCCCAATCAGAAAAATGAAAAGAAACCCACACATAAATTCATTACAGTGACACTCCAGAATACTTAAGACTGGGAAAATCTTAAAATTACTCAGAGGAAAAAGGTAGAATTATCCTAAAAATAGTACCAGTGAAAGTGACAAATGACACAAATTTACATAGCAGTTAGACACATGAAAATAAGTTCGACAAGTTAAAAGTGGACAAGTTGCCATGTTGGGTATGATGATAGATTATAGCAGTGGTGGTAATCTTTGTGGTGCAAGTTTGATGAGTCACCTCATTGGAGAACAGCCACCACTGTATATCCAACATAATGGCTAAAATTAAAAAGACTGACAATATCAAATGTTGGCAAGCATGTAGAGCGATTGGAAGTGTCATATATTGTTCATAAGAATGTATAATGGTACAGCCACTTTGGAAAACTGGATATTTCTAGTGTATTTCAACATATATTATGCTAAGACTTAGCATAGTCCACGTTTCCACTTCTAGGTATAGACCCTTGAGAAAGAAGCACATAGTACCTTTATTGATAATAACTAAAAACTGTAAACAACGAAATATCTGTAAGAGCAGAATAGTTAACAGTGGTTGTATATTCACACCGTGGAATACTAAGCAATGTAATGGAAAACATTTTCCTGGTAATTTAAAAAATGTGGAGGAATCCACAAAGTTAACATGTTGAGTGAAAGAAACTTGACACAAAAGAGTAACTGCTGTGTGATTCCATTTATGTGATGTTTAAGGACAAGCAGAACTAGTTTATTGTGGTAGAAGTCAGATTGGTGATTATCTGAGAATTAGAGAGATACTATTGATTGGGAAAGGGCATGACAGAATTTTGGGGAATAATAGAAATTTTCTATATTTTGGTCTGGGTGGTGGTTACATGCGGGGTGGTATTCATTGGTAAAAATTTCACTGAACTATACATTTAAGGTTTGTGTTTCTTATATGTAAATCACCTCAATAAAATACTCTTACCAAGAAAAGATGTATTTAGCCGTGTTGGTTGATAATCAGTATACAAAAGGTTATGTTTTTATGTATAAGAAAGAATGATAAGGAGAAAATTTTAAAAGCTACCATTTATAACACATAAAACTATTAAAGACCAGGAAGAAATCTAATAAGTGTGCAAGAACTTCTAAGAAGAAAATTATTAAATAACACTGAGACATATTGATAAATATGGAAGTAATTGGAAATGTATTCTGTTTCACAAATTGGAAGACTGAATACTGTAAAACTGGTCAGTTCTCCTTAATTAACTTATGGGTTTAGTGTGATCACAATCAAAATACCAATAGATTTTTTTTTAAGGAACTGTAGAAGATGAATACTCCCTTCGCCCCTTCCTTCCTCCCTCCTTCCCCCCCCCCCCCCCCTCCCTCCCTTCCTTCCTCCTTCTCTTCCTTCCTTCCTTCCTTCCTTCCTTCCACTTTCTTTTTTCTTTTCTTTTTGGTTGATCTGTATAGCTTAAATGATATGCGTGTTTTCCAGTGAGTATGTTGCTTGCTTGAAATAGACTTAGATGATCCAAAGTGGAATATTTTCTATAATGCAGTTTAAATAACAATACAAAAGAAAACAAGCAAAAAAAAAAAGCCCTCAAAATCAGTACAATAAAATTCTACTAGGAACATGAACACTTACCATAAGTAAGTGCTTTAAAGATTCATTCAATATAGTGTGTAGAAGGAAAAGAGCCAGCAAAACATTTTGTCATCTTTTTATATTGTTGAATGCCATGGTCATGACTAGTGTTGAGAAGATAAGGTGATTGTAGTTGGGGTTGGTATTTGTGGCTTTTGGGCTTGCCTTTTTCAGTATGCTACATTTTGTTCTAAGCTATTTCTGAGCTCTGAGATTTGCAGTGTTATTTTTTTATTCTCTCTCTCTACTTGCAGCTTTAATATCTGAAATGTAGCTATTGGCATACTTTACACTTTAAAGCCTGGGTAGAGTCATTGGCTTTACTTTGTTTGGTGAGGCCAGGGAAGGAACCCTTATGAGGACTTGCCTTTATATAAAGCTTATATTAATATGCCAGGACTGGACTATAGCAAAGGACAAGGGCTTGGGAATGGAGGGCTCATATTTGGGCTAGAGGTTGGGCTTTTGCCAAAAAAAAAAAAAAAAAAAAAGATAGCAACATCTAATATTTTAATCTTCCATCTACTTCAAACACTTGTTTAGCCCCTGTCTTTTTTTGGGGGTTTTTTTTGGTTTTTTTTTTGTGGTACGCGGGCCTCTCACTGTTGTGGCCTCTCCCATTGCGGAGCACAGGCTCCGGACGCGCAGGCTCAGCGGCCATGGCACACGGGCCCAGCTGCTCCGCGGCATGTGGGATCTTCCCGGACCGGGGCACGAACCCGTGTCCCCTGCATCGGCAGGCGGACTCTCAACCACTGCGCCACCAGGGAAGCCCTAGCCCCTGTTTTTTGTTTTTGTTTTTGTTTTTTTTAAATCATGTACGCTCTAGGGATGAAACAAATCCGTTTCTATCCTCTGGTTGCTGGTGGGAGAGACTGGTTGATTAATAATTTTGTGCAGTGTAATAAATGTATTTATAAAGTCTTTTAGGATCCAGGAGGAAGTGGTAGGAGGAAACCTAACTGGAGCCATGTTGTAAGTCCTTGGTGATTAAAAAACTAAATGTGTTATAAGCTCTAAGTGAAGATCACAAAGTCATGGCATTCTTTCATCTACTATTTTTAGTACCATAATTCTACCATATTACCATATGTTTAAGGAATATTATAATCTACTTCTTTAAAACTCATGCTTTTATTATAATGAATGATGATCTCTACCATATGACTGAATTGAGTTATATGAATATTTAATTATATACATTTAAGTATGTATACCCACCCACCAAAAATAAATGTGGTTTAGAAATGGATACTTTAAAAAATTTTTATATCTTTAGGTCACTTTGAGAAACAGTGAACATGTATGTCTTAAGCTCTACTCAGTTATTACAGTTTGTATGTAATTTTACCTCTGTAAAAAGTTTTATGGGAATGCTGGAGAGATGGTATCTTCAGTTTATATCCTTGACTTTCTTTCCCTCCTCTTGTAACAAAAAGTGCAGGTAAGCTCCTTGGTCCTAGAAAGTACATTTGAGGCCATACATTCTCCCAAAAGTAGGCAAGGGAACTAAAAAGCTTATATTATCACATTAATGTTTTCATACAACGTGAAAATCGAGAGATGTATTTTCTTGGTGGGAGGGGGCTGAAGAGGAGGGTGCTTGAACTGACTGTATCGAACCATTAAAAAAATACTTTCTGGTTTTTAGTTTTTAGTAATCTTAACTAGATCTGGAATTAGAAGAATGTCATTATCTCAGGGGAGTCTAGATTGTAGATTTGGGATGGGTTGTTGACACTTGTGGGGAACAGGAGACCTAGTTTTACTCAATATGGTCTTGAGGCTGAGTTTCATTTTGTTATTAACTTCATGAGACTTATTTTTATTTTTTCAATTTTTAATATTTATTTTTTTTAACCTTTATTGGAGTACATGTGACTTACTTTTAGACTTTAATTTTTGTAGACGGCACATTTTATAGAAATCAGGTCTTCTCAAGTTTTCCATGACTGTTGTCTGTGTGACCCGTTTCCTGGTCATTATGATACAAATGATCTGGTGTGTTGGCATTGAAAAGGGTTATTTCTAATTAGTATTTTATTATAATTAGAAGTTTAAAAATATGTAATGGTAGAGGATCATCCACCTCGAAGATTTAGGAATGAGTGTAGTTCTCCTTGTTCTCCTTCACTTTTGATCAGTTTATGCTTTTGGAATATACTGTAGAATCCTCTTTTTTAATGGTTATTGTACATGCCCACTGGTGCTAATCAATTGCTTTATGCCTCTTCTGTCCCTTATATATGACTGCTGGTGCTAATTCTTCTTTCCTGTTTGTGTTATTGTTGCTACTTCACCCAGAACCCATTGCTTGTTTTTTAGTTCATTCATTTCTAATTACCAATGTAGAATTAAGGTTCCTTTATTTATACTTCTGGATATACATATGTTACAAAAGGAGCAAACTTTTCAAATGAAAACATTCCCATTTATAAAAGTCAATAAATAATTAAATATACCTTGTTATATAAAATAGACTTTGGTGTTGTATTTACCTTTTGTATACCATGTGTTAACTTTTCTCTTTTGAAGTAGTCGCCTTGTACAAATTTAATTTTTCCAGTTGATTATCCTTATTCTTGTATTACATTATGTTGAATTGTACAACTTGAACAGTAGGAATTCTCTCAAGTTGGCTCTTTGACTTACCTCCCCCTTATTTTCTTTAAAACTTATTTCTGATAAGAGTGGGATGTTCTAGATAAATGCTGATTTTCTTATGCCCCAATTCATCTAACTAAATACCTTCCAAGGAGTTCTACTACCTTTTAGTGGTCAGTAGTTTAGGAGAAAAAGCTTGTATGGGCTGAGGTTGCATGGAGAGTTGATATTTGGGCAGAGTACTGCTGCTAATGTTGGACCACTCTTAAAAGTGTATACTGTTTATTTTTAAATATGTGAGTTTACTTTGATCTTTACACTGTAATGTATCATGTTGTTTTATTTTTTAATTAATTAATTAATTTATGGCTGCGTCGGGTGTTTGTTGCTACACACAGGCTTTCTCTAGTTGTGGCGAGCAGGGACCTTTGTTGCGGTGTGCGGGCTTCTCATTGTGGTTGGTTTCTCTTGTTGTGGAGCACGGGCTCTAGGTGTGTGGGCTTCAGTAGTTGTGGCATACGGGCTCAGTAGTTGTGGCTCGCGGGCTTAGTTGCTCTGTGGCATGTGGGATCTTCCCAGACCAGGGCTTGAACCCGTGTCCCCTGCATTGGCAGGCGGATTCTTAACCACTGTGCCACCAGGGAAGTCCCTATCATGTTTTCTGCTTTCTTTTTTTCAGTATGTGGTTTTACTGATTCCCAAAGAAGACTCTATCCTGCATTCATATAAGTTATTTTAAGTAATACTAGTTTGGAATCTAATACATTGTATCTAATGTCATGTTGTAAGGTTAGAGACAAAAGAATAATTTACTTTTTCTGCATAATTAAGATAGCTATATTATTTTGACATTAATCTGATAGAGCAAAATCTTTAGGAGGAAAATAGTGTAGCATGAATGAGATCTTCTCAAGAAGCCAAAAAAGTTGAAAGACCTTATTCTTGCTGAGGTTTTGTAATGAATACAAAATGCGTTAAGATATTTAGCTATTATTTATGCTTATTTAGAATAGTAAGTAACACATGTCTTGAGCAGGCAAAAATGCATGGTTTTATATGTGAGGATTAGGGTTTTCCAGCATGTTGTTACATGTTTAAGAGTAAGAAGAACACCATTAAGCAAAGTAGCATTACTCTTAGCCGTGTTTAGATATTTTAGATATATTTTTAGATATTGTGTAAGTGCATTTATTTTGAAGAGGTTAATCTTTTATTATTCTGAAATGTAGATATTTATTTCAGTAGATTTCTCCCTAGGCAAACTTTTGGGTAAAGAAGTGAACACATAAATATTCTCTCCCTTTATTTAGCTCTTGTAGAATCATGGATCTCTAGAACTGAAAGGAACCCTAGAATTTACTTTACCCTTTTTATAATAGAAAAGGAAATTAATGGTCAGAGGAATAAAAGTACACTTTTTTTCAATTTTTAGTTTTCTTGATTCAAAGTAATTCTTATAAAAATAGTCATTATGTTATATTGTAAATATGTATTTCAATACAGTGACTTTTCAGAAAACTTATCTAGGTACTCTATCCCTGGTACTAAGCCTCTAATTTGTTGAAATATAATTTAATATATTTCCTATTACATAATGCTGTCTTTTTGTGTTTGAAGTTTCCTTTTTCTGAGAAAAATAGGCTGCATGCCTCTTGATGTGTTGGCATTGCCACGGCTATGTTCTTAAAACTAGCCTCCGCTTGAGTAAATTTAGTTTTAAATATTACTTCCCCAGATGGATTGTCTAGAGCTTAATCTATTAAAATCCTTAGTTTATAGTATGCTATTTTCTAGGGTACAGCACTAAATTAATACTGTACTTTTTTTCCCCATCATCTTCTTCCCATTGTTTAAGAGTTCTTGAAGCCAGCATAGCAGAAAATAAAGCATGTTTGAAGAGGACACCTACTGAAGTTTGGAGAGATTCTCGAAACCCTTATGATAGAAAAAGGCAGGACAAAGCTCCTGTTGGACTAAAGAATGTTGGCAATACTTGCTGGTTTAGTGCTGTTATTCAGGTAAGAGTCTTTATGCAGATCTTATTTGGTGGGCCTGACAGCAATGGAAAGTGGGTTGGGGTTGTGTTTCTTTTAAGCTGTATACTTTATATATAACTGCAGATCAGGTTTTAGTATGCCTTTCTGTCTACTAACCTAGTTTGGGGATTGCAGTATTCCCCACCCCACTTTGTTCCTCACTCCCAGTATGGAGTTTTAATGATAGAACACTACCTAATGCCTTATTCAGAATTAATTTTTCCTCCTTCCCATTTGTTGGGAATTGTCAGAGTGGAAAGAAAATATTTTTGTATATAAATCCCTGCAAATTTAGGGAAGGATGTAATCAAGGTATGAAACCAAAACTTTTTTTTTTGAGTCAGATCAGAATTATTTATATATAATGGAAAATATCATTCAAGAATTATAGTCATTTAAATACTATTTTTATGTAAGAGAGCATTTTATTTGAGGAGGAAACAGATTGAGAAATAATTCTCAATACATATGTGAGAATGACGTAAAGAATAAATGTTGATAAATAAAGAATAACATATTTTCTTTCTAACTTGGAAAGGCCTTAATGAAATGTTTCTTGAGCTCCTTATTCTAAAATGAAAAATGTTTGTATGCATAGATATCCATCATCTTCTCAGTTTGGACTAATTTTCTTTTTTTTTTTTTTTTTTTAACTTTTATGTGATATGACTTTTGACATAAATCTTTACCATTCTCAGACATTGATAATGTTATCTGTCAAATTGTAAAACGTTAAAGTCTCCTTAAATAAAACAGTCTATGAATAACATGCTCTTAATTTTAATTGCCATTTAGGAAAATTAATATTTGTGCTTATTTTCCTAATACAGCTGAATTGTAGCTTGTTTATTTCTGATGAGTACTTTTTAAATCATTAGATGTCTTCTAATTTACATTCTTTTACATTCAAAATATCTATTCATTTTGTACTTTTCCAAAACTGTATACTGCGTAAACTTTCATATGATATTAATGCAACTCACAGGTTATTAAGTTTATTTCTACAAGGTTGTTAATTGTGTTCTCGAGGCAATTAACCTGTAGTTTTAACTTTTTTTCTACTTCCGTGTTATAATTTCCAACTTTTCTGCTTTTCTGGCAAATAATATTATATAATTTGATTTCCTTTGGTTTTCTGGATTTATGCCTCACTTTTTAATAAACTGTGGTATACACTAGTTAATAATATGGTATGTTATTTGTTTTCCAGCCTATTAAAATGTTAAGGAATACCTGGATTAGCATAAATTTGTGATGATACTTTTGTTCTTGGCCTTGAGTATGCATTAATTGTTCACTTACATGCCAACAATATCTCAAACCTTATTTGCTATCTTAATCTCTTAGATCTTCTTAATAGGCTATCTTGCTTTACTTGCACTGTTAGTAAGGGCTTTTTTGCATTTCATTGTTCAATCTAAATTTCATAATTTAGTCATCATTTTAAAATATGAAGCACAGTTCTAAGGCTCTGATCTGAGTGTTTATGAGTATGCTTTGCAGCCTGTATTTGGACAAGTAGATGCTACCTTTACACTGTTACAGCCAGTAAATGAGGCTCATTGATTAGCTGTTTCTCTTAGAAAACTATAAGAAGTAAGAAAGTGCTTCTAAAGAATCAATAGTTTAGTTAGAATAAACACCTAGGAGAAGTAACTGCTAACCTTGAAAAATTTGGATTATAATAAAGTAATAAGATACTGACTTGGGGATGTGGAAAAACATTAAGCTTCAGAGTTCAGAAAATTGTGGGTGGGAAGAAAAATTTATCTGGAGATAACTTCGTTTTGTTTTTGAATGTAATTTTAAAGTCTCTTAACCCATTTTAAGTACCTTTTACTTTTCTAGTAATTGAAATATTTTATTTTTTCATTTCTTGACATTTGCTTAATTTCACAGACATCTGAAATATAACAGTTTATCATCATAAATGGAACTTTTCACTTATGAAAGAAAATTTGGGTAGGAAATCTGTATTAGTGTTGGAAGTTTTTAAATTGTATTTTCCAAAGCAAGGTGGAACTTGTTCAGGCTGTGACATAAATGTACTGTGAAGTTTCAATTACAAACTTTTCTCAGGGATGGAATTTATTATACTTAGTTGGCAAGACTAGTATGAAACAACAGGGAATTCTTTTCTTTGTAAGTATTTCTACCAATTATAGTAGTTTACTGGGATTAGAAATCTCTAACTTCAGAGTAGGTAATGAGTATAGGCTGCAGAAGGTACAGCTTTGTTATATTTGTTCCTTTAGGTACTGAGACCTAAGTATTTTGGAAGAAAAGGGGAACAGAATATCAGAAAGAGACTGTAAGCAAGGAGAAGGTTGTACAGAGAATGGCTTACATAATCTTTTGGATGCTAATAATATTAGCCTGACTGTCTTTAGATTGGGTATCAACCAGTTATCTAGTCAGGACTATTTTCATCCTGTTCAAAAGGAACTTTTATGTACAAAGTACTAATTGGGGCTGCTTTTTCCACTAGGGTGTCAGTGAATTAGGTAGTTACTTATAGGAATATGTTCTCCTCTTTCTCTGGTTTGGGGTGTTAAGTTCAAGTAATCCATGTATTCTCATGATAAACCTTAGCACCATTCCCATTTGGATGCCTCTGAGATGCTCAGAAGTAAGGTGCTCATACTTCTCAGTTTGCCTAGTACAGTCCCAGTTTACTCACATTGTAGATCTATCAGCACCTATTAATTAGTCTTGAAGCCCTTTTTCATACTCAGAAGGGTTATGGGTTGGATGATAAAGTATATGGTCGCCTTATGCATAAATGATGAAACTCTAAGCTGACTAAAATACACGCATCCTGAGGGCAGAGAGCACATCATCTAGGTTACTGTTCTGTACCAGTGTATAGTAGAGTGTCTGACACGTTGGAGGAACCCTTTAAGTAATTACTGAGTTAATAAATGAATGAACCATAAAGGAGCATATATTACTTATGGTGGAATTGAAGACTTAAGATGCTTCTACCACTCTAATGTATTAAAAGTATGGTATTGAACAGGTGCTGCAAGTTTTCAAAACATTTCAGGATATCATTTAACGTGTTTTTCATAGCACTTGCTTTTGTCTCTAATTTTCATCAAAGAACATGAGTACATAGTTCAAAGAGAAAACCAAAAATCCCATAGCAATAATAGCCTTGTGAAAAATAACAGTCCTCTGCTCCAAACCACCCTGCCTGAGAAGCATAGTCCTGCTTCTTAAAGGCATCTACAACCAATTCTGTTTCTCTTGCTATCTTTGTTTTTATAAATGACATGCCTTTCTGCAGAGATAGATGAGGACTTAGCTCTTTCATTTCACCTACCTAGAATTGCCTTTCCTTTCATCTCCCAACATAGTTATATCACCAGTTAAAAATAGTCAGTAGTCAGTGTTTACATTTTCTTTGACTTTGTAGACATTATAGTGGTTTACTAAGACTACCCCTCTGTAATTCTTTGTTTTCCTGGAGTTGTCAGTTGCCGCCTTTTCTTCTTTCTGTTTTCTGTATACTTATTTATCCTTAAAAATTTCCAGCTGCTTCAACCTCTCTTTTGAGGTATTATCCATAGTGTGTTTCATATACTCAAACATCTCAAACATGTTAACTCTTTTCTTTTCTTTTTTTTTTGGTGAGGGGAATCCTTTACAACATGAGATTTCTGTGCCTCAAATCCAGACTGGATCCTGATTTTTTTGTGGTTTAAGCATGGTTGCTAACTTTCCAAAAGCAGGTCTAGAGAAAGGGAATTGGGGAAGGGACAATTGGGGGGTCAGTTGGCAGGCTTTTACTTAACCCTATTTGTAGCCCTGAATCTCATCCTACCCTGAAACACACTATGACTGATTTTTATGAACCTGAGTCAATTAAATTATATTCGAAGTTTAAATTTTTCTGTATTCCACAGGAAGAGAGAGAGAGTACTTGTCTGATGCTTCTCAGTCTGGGAAGGACATAGGGCTTTAATTGCTCTGTATACAGACTTTCAGTTTTTAATCCTGCCAGTCTGTTTCTGTATCACATTGAAACTTATCTGATACCATTTCATTTTTTAAGAAATCCACCAAGGAGAATTTATGTTGCTTTTCCTTAGTATTTTTCATTATAGACAGTTTATGTCTCCCTTTGCTGTCTTGTCATCACTCTTTTTGTTTTCCACAAATTATGTATTTAAACTCTCATCTTCCATTAGCTCTCTGAAATTAGCAAGAGTTTAACCAAACTCTACTTTAACAAATTTCAAAATTGACACATTAGCTTTGGACTGAATGAAAGGATACTTGTTTTCAATGTGTATGACTCACAAACACAATTTAGGCAGTAGTGACAATTACTCTTTCCCACCCCTTTTGAAGGCATGTGTTGACTAATACTACTATGCCTGGTTTATGGTATAGATTGGTACTTAAAATAAATTTCTGTGATTTGTTGTGATAATCCGTGGTCACAAATTCTACTTCGGGTAGTAACATATTAAGTTGTTTTCGGATATCTACCCGCTCATATTTTGCTGGAGTCCAAAACAAAACAAAAGAAAAATGAAATCAGCTTTTTGAAGGCATCATAAACCCTAAAGCAGTGAGTAATTTTGAGGCTACACTTTCAGAGAACAAGAATTTCAGAGAGTAAGCTTCACATTTTGGGCTGATTTTATCTTTGAGGCAATTTCAGAAGTGACTGCTGATTGGCTGGGGAGCTAAGCAAAGTTTCACACAGGCTTGGAGCCCTAGGAAACACCTCAGATTTTCAGTTAAATTCTAAAGGGCTACACCCTAGAATTAACTGAGAACTGAAAAATAGGCCAGGCTTTATAATTTGTGAATCCCAGCTTGAGATTTTCTCAGAATTGATTGGGTTAAGATGATCTAGGCTTGCAAGTAGTCCCAGTTTTGCTGCCTGCCAGAAGGAAACGTAAATTCTGTTAGAAGATACTATCATCTCGAACTTAGAATTTTCTCCAGTTTTTTTTTTTTTTGCGGTACGCGGGCCTCTCACTGTTGTGGCCTCCCCCGCTGCGGAGCACATGCTCCGGACGCGCAGGCTCAGCGGACACGGCTCACAGGCCCAGCCACTCCGCGGCATGTGGGGTCTTCCCGGACCGGGGCACGAACTCGCGTCCCCTGCATCGGCAGGTGCACTCTCAACCACTACGCCACCAGGGAAGCCCCTTTTCTCCAGTTTTTTACATACAGTGTCTAGCACTCAAATCAGTCATAATTAGTTATATCAGAAAATAAGACATGTCCAAAAATTAAGAGAAAATAATGGATAATTAGAAATATACCTACAGGGAAACCTAAAAATCGAATTATTTGTTATGTAACTATTACTATGCTCAAGGAATTAGAAGCATGATTGAGAATTTTGATAGAAAATTAAAAACTATAAAAAGAACAAAATAGAATATTTTGTTCAAAACAAAATATTTCTAAAATAGAAAATTTAGAACTGAAAAATATGATAAATGAAGTTAAGATATCAGTGGAAGAGTTTAGCAGGATACAGACACACTGAAGAGAGAATTAGTCAACTGGACAGTTTGTGGAACATTTTCACACTAAAGCCATGAGATACAGATGAGAGCATATAAGAGATATTTTGGACATGGTGTAAATTGTACTAACACAATTTATTTTTGGTTCCAGAGGGAAACTAAAAGGGAAATAGGATAAAAGCAATATTTGAAGAGATGACAAAGAATATTCCAAGCTTGATGAAAGAGATGAAGCCACAGATTAGGGAAGCAATAGGAACCAGGTAGTATGAACGTAAAGAATACTACACCAAGGCACATCATAGTAAAACAGAGAAACACTCTAGACAGAGAAAATACTAAAAGTAGCCAGATAGAAAAGGTGTATCGCCTCTGTGAAGGAGCAAAAATAAGACTAATGGTTGACTTCTCAACAGAAATGCTATCTTTAAAGTTCTGGGAAAAGTTAACTGGCTGTCTAGAATTCTATAACTAGCAAAAATCTTTAAAAAATGAAAAAGGCCCCCACAATTTTCAGTTTAGCAGAAGCTGAAATACTTTGTTACCAGGAGACCCACACCAAAGGAAATTCTAAAGGGTGTTCAGGAAGAAGAAAAAAGTTTTCCAGTGGGAGCTCAGAGCATAGAAGTGGGATTGAGATTCTCCAGATTTGTCAATATTCTCTTTCCTATTTAAATTCCTTTTAAGAACAGTCTGTACTTTGTCCCCCTTACTTTTATCCCATTTCTTCAGGACTCATTGCTGCTATTCTGCCATTCTACCATTCTACTGGAAAGGTGACTTCCCAATTGACAAGTCTAAAGATTATTTTCTTGCCCTTACCTTACTAGAATGTGGCAACCTTCAACCTTTACTAATCTTGTCCTTCATGAAATTTGCCAGTGATTCTTGGATGTACTCCAGAATCTTCTATGGTACTTTATATCTTTGTTGAGAGGTTCCTGACATAGGAATTTTTAAAGCTCTGCAGTTATTCTGATACACAACTATGTTTGAAAGCTTTTTCTACCCCTTTTTCTTCTGTGATCTCATACTCCACACTTCCTTTACTATTTTTATTTTGTCTTTCTTATAGCTCTTTTTCCTCTGGCTTTTAAATGCTGCTTCCTTAAGTTTCTGATTTTGGTCTGTTATTGTACTTATTATTTCTGACTTATAACATCTGCTCTCATTGTTTTAACTTGCAATAACAAGATAGTACAAGGGCAGAGACTTGATATATTTTATTCTCTGCTGCCTGTCTTCCTTGTGTCTGGCATGTAGTAGGTGCTCCATAAATATTTGTTAAATGAAAGAATAAATAAATGAATATGTTCATATTGTTTAATTAAAAAATACTTCAGATCACAGTTATCAGTTTTATGGTTTTACCTTTCATATTTACATCTTTAATCCACATCTATATCTATATATGACTATTTATATATATGGACCAGTTTTCCCAACACCCAGTACTAAACAAAATCTTGTTTTCTTATGGATTTGTGGTGCTATTTTTATTTTCTAGCAAGTTGGCTAACCCATCTTTTACTAAGATTTAATACATTATAACCTCCAGTGCAATGATTTTCAAACTTTATAAACTGTGACTCACAGAAAGGAATACGTTTTACTTTGTAAAACACTTTACACATACATATATATGTAAAAATATCACCAATGAAAATTTTACAAATGATATTCTGGTGAATTGACTGTTTATGACATGTTCTGATATTTTCCATTATATTTTATTTCAGTTTTTTAAATTAATGTTTATCATGATGACATTAATGGGTTACAAGCTATAGCTTAAAAACATAGCTGCAGGAAGCTTTTTCATGAGCATCTTTCACATGCTTTCATTATGCTCTACATGTTCAATATTACTGTATTTTTGAGTAACACTGCTATTGTTATAATTAAATATCTGTCTCCTTTCTAGGTTGTGTGTCTCCTTGACCATTAGCGATAATACGTAATTTCTTTGTGTCTCTATCACCTAGCATCTGGCCCATAAATTTATTTGTACTATATTTTTGTAGAATTGATACTTCTAGAAAACTCATACTGAACATAACATGTCTAAAAAGTTCTCAACTTTGCATTTGTGTAGATTTTATTTTGAGGAAACTGCTTAGGCACATAGTAACATAAAGAAAGGAAACTTTTAATAATATATATTATGTTTTTTTGAGTTGTCCACGTATAATTTTCTCCTTTGCAGTACCGTAAATATTGTTAATGATCAAGAATAATATGTCAGAATAAAAGAAATGTGACTTTTTCTCAGGGAGAAAATAGGCCTTATTGTGCTAGTGGGAAATATTCTGTATATAAAATAAATCTTTCAGGCCAGTCATATTTTTATAGTTCTGTTAATAGAATTTTCCCTTCTGTTATCTTAAATTGTTGTTCTTTTTCAGTCATTATTCAATCTTTTGGAATTTAGAAGACTAGTTCTGAATTACAAGCCTCCATCAAATGTTCAAGATTTACCCCGAAACCAAAAGGTAAAATTATGAAAAATTTTTAAGCAGCGTATATATGGTTTTCATATTCTTTTATCTGTGTTTGCTTTTGGGAAATTTGCCAAATCAAATCTGAAATAGTGTCAAATTTGAATGTGAACCTATTAATCTCAGCTACAACAATAACTTCCTATCTTGGTTAGTATATTGTAATTATGAATTTTTCTTCACCTGTGTGTCAGTAATAGGCCAATTTTTTTGTTTCACTTTAGTAATTGCTTTCTTCTTTTTTTTGGATGTCAAATTTCAGTAAATTTTATAGGTTACCATTTACAATTCAAGGCCTTTACTCAGTTGCCTTCTGAAAAATTGTGTGGAAATCAAAAATTTATCAGTTATTTCTGTAGCTGAGCTCTTTAAAAGGTTAGTTTTGCACTGGTTGTCTTTGCAGTGCGAATCTATAACTTCTAATATTGTTAGGCAATATAATGTGACAGAGAACACAGGCATTAGGACCACATTTCCTGGGTTCTGGCTGTGGACCTGCTTGGTCTAGTTACTGCTCATTTTCCTTATCTGAAAAGCATAAATAATAAAAGCAGTTATTTTATAGAGTTGCTGTGAGAATTAAATGAGATAAAACACATAAAGGACTTAGAAGTACCTGGTACATAGTAAGTACTAGATGTCAGCTATTGCTAGTTATTATACTGTTCATATTAGCTTTTCAAAAGATAGGACTGATTTGCATGCAGAAATTCATACTTAATGAAAAAAATTAATTATGGAGATGATATCCTTGAGTGTAAGACTTCAGTGATCTTGTCATAAAGAAACTGTAGCCCTAAAGGGGACTGGTTGCAAAGACAAAGAAGTTATAGGTTTTAGTAAAGTGTTGAACTTTGTGTGACCTATTGTTAATAGTAATAATACATTATTAAATTATGTTTTCCTTTTAGTATCTAATGTTGAAAACTGCTTTTCCTGCAAACATGTGAAACATTTATAATGCTAGCTAGTGGGAATATAATTTGATTTTTAACCAGCTTTTCAGGCCGTAATCTTTGGCCATAAAGTGTCACACTGATAAGCCATTTTCAAAAGGGAAGCAAGATCACCTGACCAACTACTCATACTTCCAGAGAAATTAAGCAGACACCTTTAAGTCATTACAGTTTTTACATGAAACTTTTTGGACTGTTGCCTCCCTCTGTCACAATTTGGTTAGCTTGTTGTTCTGATGTCTTGGTTGAAGTATATTTATAATTCACATGATTATTTAGAATTATTACTTGCAATTTGAAAGATATCTAGATAATCCCCCTAGTACTTGGAAATTATTTACACCTCTAAATAATCCCAGGAACAAAGAACAAGTCAAAGAAGAAATTTCAGGGTATTCTGAACTGAATAAAAATTAAAACATGATGTATCAAAATTAGAGGGATTTAACTAAAACAGTGGTTAGTGGAAAATACATGAACTAAATGCCTTATTAGAAAATAAGAATTGTTTCAAATTAATGGCATCAGATTTTATCAAGAAATTAGGGGGGAAAATCTTGTTAATTTGAAAGCAGAAGAAAGGAAATAATTAAGACAAGTACATAAATCAATGAATTAAACATCAGGAAAACAGTAGAGAAAAATTAATGGAACCACAAGCTGCTTCTTAAGAAAGTTGGTAAAATTGATAACCTTCTAAGTAGACTGAGTAAGAAAAAAGAGAGAAGAAACAAATTACCAAAATAAAGAATGAAAGAGGGGCACATCACTGCATATTCTGTAGACAGTAAGAGAATAGTGGAATATTATACACAACAGGCAAATATTTAAAAAGCTAACAGCTGTTGAAACTGATGAAAAGATAGATAACCTGAGTATCTCTATATTATACTAAAGAAATTGAATTTTTAGTTAAGAACCTACCCACCAAAAAAAAAATCAATAGCAGCAAGGTTTATTGGTGAGTTATACCAAACATTTAAGGAAGAAATAATAGCAATTCTCCACATGTTTTTCCAGAAAATTGAAAAAGAGATAAAACTTCCAAATTTACTCTATGAGACCAGCATTACGCTGAAACCAAAAGTAGAAAAATATATTTCAAGAAAAGAAAACTACAGACCAATATTCCTCATGAATAATAGAAGAAAAAATTGTCAGATTTTTGGCAAGTTGGATGCTGTAGTACATATAAAGGATAATAATACCTCATTGGCAGGTGGAGTTTATCCAGGACTGAAAGATTGGTTTAGTGTTCAAAAATCAGTATAATTCATCATATTAACATATTAGACAAGAAGAGCCATATGACTATCTCAGTAGGTGAAGAAAAAGGATTTGAAGAAAGCTAACATATATTTATGGCAAAATCTCACAGAAACTAGGAATAGTAAAAAACTTTTTTATCCTGATAAAACTCATTTATGAGAAACTTACAACTAATTATAATACTTTATGGTGTAAGACTGAACCCTTTTCCTCAAAGATCAAGAACAAACAAGATGTCCCTCACCACTTTTCTATTAAACATTAGACTGGAGTTCTTAACCAGTGCTGTAAGGTAAGAAAAAGAAATAAGCATGCAGATTGGAAAAGAAGAAACAAAGCTGTCTTTTCATTTATATGACTGTCTATTTAGAAAATCCTAAGTACTCTACTAAAAAAAAAAAGATGCTAGAATCAAGAAGTGAGTTCATTCAGCAGCATTACATGATACAAGGCAAACATACAAAAATCAACTGTATTTCTTAATACTAGTAACACACAATTGGGAATTTAAATTAAAAAGTACTTATGTAAGACAGCATAAAATATGGAATATTAGAGATAAAGTAGACAAAAGATATGGAAAACTACAAAACATTGCTGAGAGAAATTAAAGAAATAAAGAGATATACTATGTTCATGGATCAGGGGATTCAGTTTTTTTAAGATATCAGTTGTCCCCACTTTAATCTGTAGAATCAGTGCAATCCAGTTATAATCCCAGCAGGCATTTTCATAGGAATTGACAAATTGATTGTAAAATCTATATGCAGAATCAAGGGATGTGGAATAGCCATAGCAGTTTTAAAGAGAAAGGCAGTGTTGGAGGAATTAATTATTTGGCTAATGATCAAGACACTGTTATTGGTGAAAAGATAGTCATACAGATCAGTAGAACAGAATAGAGAGTCCAGAAATAGAACAACACATATAGGGGTAATTCGTTTTAATCAGAGTTGCCAAAACAATTCAATGGTCAAAGGAAAATCAATAGAACAACACATATAGGGGTAATTCGTTTTAATCAGAGTTGCCAAAACAATTCAATGGTCAAAGGAAAATCGCGGCATGTGGGATCTTCCCGGACCGGGGCACGAACCCGTGTCCCCTGCATCGGCAGGCGGACTCTCAACCACTGCGCCACCAGGGAAGCCCTAGCCCCTGTTTTTTGTTTTTGTTTTTGTTTTTTTTAAATCATGTACGCTCTAGGGATGAAACAAATCCGTTTCTATCCTCTGGTTGCTGGTGGGAGAGACTGGTTGATTAATAATTTTGTGCAGTGTAATAAATGTATTTATAAAGTCTTTTAGGATCCAGGAGGAAGTGGTAGGAGGAAACCTAACTGGAGCCATGTTGTAAGTCCTTGGTGATTAAAAAACTAAATGTGTTATAAGCTCTAAGTGAAGATCACAAAGTCATGGCATTCTTTCATCTACTATTTTTAGTACCATAATTCTACCATATTACCATATGTTTAAGGAATATTATAATCTACTTCTTTAAAACTCATGCTTTTATTATAATGAATGATGATCTCTACCATATGACTGAATTGAGTTATATGAATATTTAATTATATACATTTAAGTATGTATACCCACCCACCAAAAATAAATGTGGTTTAGAAATGGATACTTTAAAAAATTTTTATATCTTTAGGTCACTTTGAGAAACAGTGAACATGTATGTCTTAAGCTCTACTCAGTTATTACAGTTTGTATGTAATTTTACCTCTGTAAAAAGTTTTATGGGAATGCTGGAGAGATGGTATCTTCAGTTTATATCCTTGACTTTCTTTCCCTCCTCTTGTAACAAAAAGTGCAGGTAAGCTCCTTGGTCCTAGAAAGTACATTTGAGGCCATACATTCTCCCAAAAGTAGGCAAGGGAACTAAAAAGCTTATATTATCACATTAATGTTTTCATACAACGTGAAAATCGAGAGATGTATTTTCTTGGTGGGAGGGGGCTGAAGAGGAGGGTGCTTGAACTGACTGTATCGAACCATTAAAAAAATACTTTCTGGTTTTTAGTTTTTAGTAATCTTAACTAGATCTGGAATTAGAAGAATGTCATTATCTCAGGGGAGTCTAGATTGTAGATTTGGGATGGGTTGTTGACACTTGTGGGGAACAGGAGACCTAGTTTTACTCAATATGGTCTTGAGGCTGAGTTTCATTTTGTTATTAACTTCATGAGACTTATTTTTATTTTTTCAATTTTTAATATTTATTTTTTTTAACCTTTATTGGAGTACATGTGACTTACTTTTAGACTTTAATTTTTGTAGACGGCACATTTTATAGAAATCAGGTCTTCTCAAGTTTTCCATGACTGTTGTCTGTGTGACCCGTTTCCTGGTCATTATGATACAAATGATCTGGTGTGTTGGCATTGAAAAGGGTTATTTCTAATTAGTATTTTATTATAATTAGAAGTTTAAAAATATGTAATGGTAGAGGATCATCCACCTCGAAGATTTAGGAATGAGTGTAGTTCTCCTTGTTCTCCTTCACTTTTGATCAGTTTATGCTTTTGGAATATACTGTAGAATCCTCTTTTTTAATGGTTATTGTACATGCCCACTGGTGCTAATCAATTGCTTTATGCCTCTTCTGTCCCTTATATATGACTGCTGGTGCTAATTCTTCTTTCCTGTTTGTGTTATTGTTGCTACTTCACCCAGAACCCATTGCTTGTTTTTTAGTTCATTCATTTCTAATTACCAATGTAGAATTAAGGTTCCTTTATTTATACTTCTGGATATACATATGTTACAAAAGGAGCAAACTTTTCAAATGAAAACATTCCCATTTATAAAAGTCAATAAATAATTAAATATACCTTGTTATATAAAATAGACTTTGGTGTTGTATTTACCTTTTGTATACCATGTGTTAACTTTTCTCTTTTGAAGTAGTCGCCTTGTACAAATTTAATTTTTCCAGTTGATTATCCTTATTCTTGTATTACATTATGTTGAATTGTACAACTTGAACAGTAGGAATTCTCTCAAGTTGGCTCTTTGACTTACCTCCCCCTTATTTTCTTTAAAACTTATTTCTGATAAGAGTGGGATGTTCTAGATAAATGCTGATTTTCTTATGCCCCAATTCATCTAACTAAATACCTTCCAAGGAGTTCTACTACCTTTTAGTGGTCAGTAGTTTAGGAGAAAAAGCTTGTATGGGCTGAGGTTGCATGGAGAGTTGATATTTGGGCAGAGTACTGCTGCTAATGTTGGACCACTCTTAAAAGTGTATACTGTTTATTTTTAAATATGTGAGTTTACTTTGATCTTTACACTGTAATGTATCATGTTGTTTTATTTTTTAATTAATTAATTAATTTATGGCTGCGTCGGGTGTTTGTTGCTACACACAGGCTTTCTCTAGTTGTGGCGAGCAGGGACCTTTGTTGCGGTGTGCGGGCTTCTCATTGTGGTTGGTTTCTCTTGTTGTGGAGCACGGGCTCTAGGTGTGTGGGCTTCAGTAGTTGTGGCATACGGGCTCAGTAGTTGTGGCTCGCGGGCTTAGTTGCTCTGTGGCATGTGGGATCTTCCCAGACCAGGGCTTGAACCCGTGTCCCCTGCATTGGCAGGCGGATTCTTAACCACTGTGCCACCAGGGAAGTCCCTATCATGTTTTCTGCTTTCTTTTTTTCAGTATGTGGTTTTACTGATTCCCAAAGAAGACTCTATCCTGCATTCATATAAGTTATTTTAAGTAATACTAGTTTGGAATCTAATACATTGTATCTAATGTCATGTTGTAAGGTTAGAGACAAAAGAATAATTTACTTTTTCTGCATAATTAAGATAGCTATATTATTTTGACATTAATCTGATAGAGCAAAATCTTTAGGAGGAAAATAGTGTAGCATGAATGAGATCTTCTCAAGAAGCCAAAAAAGTTGAAAGACCTTATTCTTGCTGAGGTTTTGTAATGAATACAAAATGCGTTAAGATATTTAGCTATTATTTATGCTTATTTAGAATAGTAAGTAACACATGTCTTGAGCAGGCAAAAATGCATGGTTTTATATGTGAGGATTAGGGTTTTCCAGCATGTTGTTACATGTTTAAGAGTAAGAAGAACACCATTAAGCAAAGTAGCATTACTCTTAGCCGTGTTTAGATATTTTAGATATATTTTTAGATATTGTGTAAGTGCATTTATTTTGAAGAGGTTAATCTTTTATTATTCTGAAATGTAGATATTTATTTCAGTAGATTTCTCCCTAGGCAAACTTTTGGGTAAAGAAGTGAACACATAAATATTCTCTCCCTTTATTTAGCTCTTGTAGAATCATGGATCTCTAGAACTGAAAGGAACCCTAGAATTTACTTTACCCTTTTTATAATAGAAAAGGAAATTAATGGTCAGAGGAATAAAAGTACACTTTTTTTCAATTTTTAGTTTTCTTGATTCAAAGTAATTCTTATAAAAATAGTCATTATGTTATATTGTAAATATGTATTTCAATACAGTGACTTTTCAGAAAACTTATCTAGGTACTCTATCCCTGGTACTAAGCCTCTAATTTGTTGAAATATAATTTAATATATTTCCTATTACATAATGCTGTCTTTTTGTGTTTGAAGTTTCCTTTTTCTGAGAAAAATAGGCTGCATGCCTCTTGATGTGTTGGCATTGCCACGGCTATGTTCTTAAAACTAGCCTCCGCTTGAGTAAATTTAGTTTTAAATATTACTTCCCCAGATGGATTGTCTAGAGCTTAATCTATTAAAATCCTTAGTTTATAGTATGCTATTTTCTAGGGTACAGCACTAAATTAATACTGTACTTTTTTTCCCCATCATCTTCTTCCCATTGTTTAAGAGTTCTTGAAGCCAGCATAGCAGAAAATAAAGCATGTTTGAAGAGGACACCTACTGAAGTTTGGAGAGATTCTCGAAACCCTTATGATAGAAAAAGGCAGGACAAAGCTCCTGTTGGACTAAAGAATGTTGGCAATACTTGCTGGTTTAGTGCTGTTATTCAGGTAAGAGTCTTTATGCAGATCTTATTTGGTGGGCCTGACAGCAATGGAAAGTGGGTTGGGGTTGTGTTTCTTTTAAGCTGTATACTTTATATATAACTGCAGATCAGGTTTTAGTATGCCTTTCTGTCTACTAACCTAGTTTGGGGATTGCAGTATTCCCCACCCCACTTTGTTCCTCACTCCCAGTATGGAGTTTTAATGATAGAACACTACCTAATGCCTTATTCAGAATTAATTTTTCCTCCTTCCCATTTGTTGGGAATTGTCAGAGTGGAAAGAAAATATTTTTGTATATAAATCCCTGCAAATTTAGGGAAGGATGTAATCAAGGTATGAAACCAAAACTTTTTTTTTTGAGTCAGATCAGAATTATTTATATATAATGGAAAATATCATTCAAGAATTATAGTCATTTAAATACTATTTTTATGTAAGAGAGCATTTTATTTGAGGAGGAAACAGATTGAGAAATAATTCTCAATACATATGTGAGAATGACGTAAAGAATAAATGTTGATAAATAAAGAATAACATATTTTCTTTCTAACTTGGAAAGGCCTTAATGAAATGTTTCTTGAGCTCCTTATTCTAAAATGAAAAATGTTTGTATGCATAGATATCCATCATCTTCTCAGTTTGGACTAATTTTCTTTTTTTTTTTTTTTTTTAACTTTTATGTGATATGACTTTTGACATAAATCTTTACCATTCTCAGACATTGATAATGTTATCTGTCAAATTGTAAAACGTTAAAGTCTCCTTAAATAAAACAGTCTATGAATAACATGCTCTTAATTTTAATTGCCATTTAGGAAAATTAATATTTGTGCTTATTTTCCTAATACAGCTGAATTGTAGCTTGTTTATTTCTGATGAGTACTTTTTAAATCATTAGATGTCTTCTAATTTACATTCTTTTACATTCAAAATATCTATTCATTTTGTACTTTTCCAAAACTGTATACTGCGTAAACTTTCATATGATATTAATGCAACTCACAGGTTATTAAGTTTATTTCTACAAGGTTGTTAATTGTGTTCTCGAGGCAATTAACCTGTAGTTTTAACTTTTTTTCTACTTCCGTGTTATAATTTCCAACTTTTCTGCTTTTCTGGCAAATAATATTATATAATTTGATTTCCTTTGGTTTTCTGGATTTATGCCTCACTTTTTAATAAACTGTGGTATACACTAGTTAATAATATGGTATGTTATTTGTTTTCCAGCCTATTAAAATGTTAAGGAATACCTGGATTAGCATAAATTTGTGATGATACTTTTGTTCTTGGCCTTGAGTATGCATTAATTGTTCACTTACATGCCAACAATATCTCAAACCTTATTTGCTATCTTAATCTCTTAGATCTTCTTAATAGGCTATCTTGCTTTACTTGCACTGTTAGTAAGGGCTTTTTTGCATTTCATTGTTCAATCTAAATTTCATAATTTAGTCATCATTTTAAAATATGAAGCACAGTTCTAAGGCTCTGATCTGAGTGTTTATGAGTATGCTTTGCAGCCTGTATTTGGACAAGTAGATGCTACCTTTACACTGTTACAGCCAGTAAATGAGGCTCATTGATTAGCTGTTTCTCTTAGAAAACTATAAGAAGTAAGAAAGTGCTTCTAAAGAATCAATAGTTTAGTTAGAATAAACACCTAGGAGAAGTAACTGCTAACCTTGAAAAATTTGGATTATAATAAAGTAATAAGATACTGACTTGGGGATGTGGAAAAACATTAAGCTTCAGAGTTCAGAAAATTGTGGGTGGGAAGAAAAATTTATCTGGAGATAACTTCGTTTTGTTTTTGAATGTAATTTTAAAGTCTCTTAACCCATTTTAAGTACCTTTTACTTTTCTAGTAATTGAAATATTTTATTTTTTCATTTCTTGACATTTGCTTAATTTCACAGACATCTGAAATATAACAGTTTATCATCATAAATGGAACTTTTCACTTATGAAAGAAAATTTGGGTAGGAAATCTGTATTAGTGTTGGAAGTTTTTAAATTGTATTTTCCAAAGCAAGGTGGAACTTGTTCAGGCTGTGACATAAATGTACTGTGAAGTTTCAATTACAAACTTTTCTCAGGGATGGAATTTATTATACTTAGTTGGCAAGACTAGTATGAAACAACAGGGAATTCTTTTCTTTGTAAGTATTTCTACCAATTATAGTAGTTTACTGGGATTAGAAATCTCTAACTTCAGAGTAGGTAATGAGTATAGGCTGCAGAAGGTACAGCTTTGTTATATTTGTTCCTTTAGGTACTGAGACCTAAGTATTTTGGAAGAAAAGGGGAACAGAATATCAGAAAGAGACTGTAAGCAAGGAGAAGGTTGTACAGAGAATGGCTTACATAATCTTTTGGATGCTAATAATATTAGCCTGACTGTCTTTAGATTGGGTATCAACCAGTTATCTAGTCAGGACTATTTTCATCCTGTTCAAAAGGAACTTTTATGTACAAAGTACTAATTGGGGCTGCTTTTTCCACTAGGGTGTCAGTGAATTAGGTAGTTACTTATAGGAATATGTTCTCCTCTTTCTCTGGTTTGGGGTGTTAAGTTCAAGTAATCCATGTATTCTCATGATAAACCTTAGCACCATTCCCATTTGGATGCCTCTGAGATGCTCAGAAGTAAGGTGCTCATACTTCTCAGTTTGCCTAGTACAGTCCCAGTTTACTCACATTGTAGATCTATCAGCACCTATTAATTAGTCTTGAAGCCCTTTTTCATACTCAGAAGGGTTATGGGTTGGATGATAAAGTATATGGTCGCCTTATGCATAAATGATGAAACTCTAAGCTGACTAAAATACACGCATCCTGAGGGCAGAGAGCACATCATCTAGGTTACTGTTCTGTACCAGTGTATAGTAGAGTGTCTGACACGTTGGAGGAACCCTTTAAGTAATTACTGAGTTAATAAATGAATGAACCATAAAGGAGCATATATTACTTATGGTGGAATTGAAGACTTAAGATGCTTCTACCACTCTAATGTATTAAAAGTATGGTATTGAACAGGTGCTGCAAGTTTTCAAAACATTTCAGGATATCATTTAACGTGTTTTTCATAGCACTTGCTTTTGTCTCTAATTTTCATCAAAGAACATGAGTACATAGTTCAAAGAGAAAACCAAAAATCCCATAGCAATAATAGCCTTGTGAAAAATAACAGTCCTCTGCTCCAAACCACCCTGCCTGAGAAGCATAGTCCTGCTTCTTAAAGGCATCTACAACCAATTCTGTTTCTCTTGCTATCTTTGTTTTTATAAATGACATGCCTTTCTGCAGAGATAGATGAGGACTTAGCTCTTTCATTTCACCTACCTAGAATTGCCTTTCCTTTCATCTCCCAACATAGTTATATCACCAGTTAAAAATAGTCAGTAGTCAGTGTTTACATTTTCTTTGACTTTGTAGACATTATAGTGGTTTACTAAGACTACCCCTCTGTAATTCTTTGTTTTCCTGGAGTTGTCAGTTGCCGCCTTTTCTTCTTTCTGTTTTCTGTATACTTATTTATCCTTAAAAATTTCCAGCTGCTTCAACCTCTCTTTTGAGGTATTATCCATAGTGTGTTTCATATACTCAAACATCTCAAACATGTTAACTCTTTTCTTTTCTTTTTTTTTTGGTGAGGGGAATCCTTTACAACATGAGATTTCTGTGCCTCAAATCCAGACTGGATCCTGATTTTTTTGTGGTTTAAGCATGGTTGCTAACTTTCCAAAAGCAGGTCTAGAGAAAGGGAATTGGGGAAGGGACAATTGGGGGGTCAGTTGGCAGGCTTTTACTTAACCCTATTTGTAGCCCTGAATCTCATCCTACCCTGAAACACACTATGACTGATTTTTATGAACCTGAGTCAATTAAATTATATTCGAAGTTTAAATTTTTCTGTATTCCACAGGAAGAGAGAGAGAGTACTTGTCTGATGCTTCTCAGTCTGGGAAGGACATAGGGCTTTAATTGCTCTGTATACAGACTTTCAGTTTTTAATCCTGCCAGTCTGTTTCTGTATCACATTGAAACTTATCTGATACCATTTCATTTTTTAAGAAATCCACCAAGGAGAATTTATGTTGCTTTTCCTTAGTATTTTTCATTATAGACAGTTTATGTCTCCCTTTGCTGTCTTGTCATCACTCTTTTTGTTTTCCACAAATTATGTATTTAAACTCTCATCTTCCATTAGCTCTCTGAAATTAGCAAGAGTTTAACCAAACTCTACTTTAACAAATTTCAAAATTGACACATTAGCTTTGGACTGAATGAAAGGATACTTGTTTTCAATGTGTATGACTCACAAACACAATTTAGGCAGTAGTGACAATTACTCTTTCCCACCCCTTTTGAAGGCATGTGTTGACTAATACTACTATGCCTGGTTTATGGTATAGATTGGTACTTAAAATAAATTTCTGTGATTTGTTGTGATAATCCGTGGTCACAAATTCTACTTCGGGTAGTAACATATTAAGTTGTTTTCGGATATCTACCCGCTCATATTTTGCTGGAGTCCAAAACAAAACAAAAGAAAAATGAAATCAGCTTTTTGAAGGCATCATAAACCCTAAAGCAGTGAGTAATTTTGAGGCTACACTTTCAGAGAACAAGAATTTCAGAGAGTAAGCTTCACATTTTGGGCTGATTTTATCTTTGAGGCAATTTCAGAAGTGACTGCTGATTGGCTGGGGAGCTAAGCAAAGTTTCACACAGGCTTGGAGCCCTAGGAAACACCTCAGATTTTCAGTTAAATTCTAAAGGGCTACACCCTAGAATTAACTGAGAACTGAAAAATAGGCCAGGCTTTATAATTTGTGAATCCCAGCTTGAGATTTTCTCAGAATTGATTGGGTTAAGATGATCTAGGCTTGCAAGTAGTCCCAGTTTTGCTGCCTGCCAGAAGGAAACGTAAATTCTGTTAGAAGATACTATCATCTCGAACTTAGAATTTTCTCCAGTTTTTTTTTTTTTTGCGGTACGCGGGCCTCTCACTGTTGTGGCCTCCCCCGCTGCGGAGCACATGCTCCGGACGCGCAGGCTCAGCGGACACGGCTCACAGGCCCAGCCACTCCGCGGCATGTGGGGTCTTCCCGGACCGGGGCACGAACTCGCGTCCCCTGCATCGGCAGGTGCACTCTCAACCACTACGCCACCAGGGAAGCCCCTTTTCTCCAGTTTTTTACATACAGTGTCTAGCACTCAAATCAGTCATAATTAGTTATATCAGAAAATAAGACATGTCCAAAAATTAAGAGAAAATAATGGATAATTAGAAATATACCTACAGGGAAACCTAAAAATCGAATTATTTGTTATGTAACTATTACTATGCTCAAGGAATTAGAAGCATGATTGAGAATTTTGATAGAAAATTAAAAACTATAAAAAGAACAAAATAGAATATTTTGTTCAAAACAAAATATTTCTAAAATAGAAAATTTAGAACTGAAAAATATGATAAATGAAGTTAAGATATCAGTGGAAGAGTTTAGCAGGATACAGACACACTGAAGAGAGAATTAGTCAACTGGACAGTTTGTGGAACATTTTCACACTAAAGCCATGAGATACAGATGAGAGCATATAAGAGATATTTTGGACATGGTGTAAATTGTACTAACACAATTTATTTTTGGTTCCAGAGGGAAACTAAAAGGGAAATAGGATAAAAGCAATATTTGAAGAGATGACAAAGAATATTCCAAGCTTGATGAAAGAGATGAAGCCACAGATTAGGGAAGCAATAGGAACCAGGTAGTATGAACGTAAAGAATACTACACCAAGGCACATCATAGTAAAACAGAGAAACACTCTAGACAGAGAAAATACTAAAAGTAGCCAGATAGAAAAGGTGTATCGCCTCTGTGAAGGAGCAAAAATAAGACTAATGGTTGACTTCTCAACAGAAATGCTATCTTTAAAGTTCTGGGAAAAGTTAACTGGCTGTCTAGAATTCTATAACTAGCAAAAATCTTTAAAAAATGAAAAAGGCCCCCACAATTTTCAGTTTAGCAGAAGCTGAAATACTTTGTTACCAGGAGACCCACACCAAAGGAAATTCTAAAGGGTGTTCAGGAAGAAGAAAAAAGTTTTCCAGTGGGAGCTCAGAGCATAGAAGTGGGATTGAGATTCTCCAGATTTGTCAATATTCTCTTTCCTATTTAAATTCCTTTTAAGAACAGTCTGTACTTTGTCCCCCTTACTTTTATCCCATTTCTTCAGGACTCATTGCTGCTATTCTGCCATTCTACCATTCTACTGGAAAGGTGACTTCCCAATTGACAAGTCTAAAGATTATTTTCTTGCCCTTACCTTACTAGAATGTGGCAACCTTCAACCTTTACTAATCTTGTCCTTCATGAAATTTGCCAGTGATTCTTGGATGTACTCCAGAATCTTCTATGGTACTTTATATCTTTGTTGAGAGGTTCCTGACATAGGAATTTTTAAAGCTCTGCAGTTATTCTGATACACAACTATGTTTGAAAGCTTTTTCTACCCCTTTTTCTTCTGTGATCTCATACTCCACACTTCCTTTACTATTTTTATTTTGTCTTTCTTATAGCTCTTTTTCCTCTGGCTTTTAAATGCTGCTTCCTTAAGTTTCTGATTTTGGTCTGTTATTGTACTTATTATTTCTGACTTATAACATCTGCTCTCATTGTTTTAACTTGCAATAACAAGATAGTACAAGGGCAGAGACTTGATATATTTTATTCTCTGCTGCCTGTCTTCCTTGTGTCTGGCATGTAGTAGGTGCTCCATAAATATTTGTTAAATGAAAGAATAAATAAATGAATATGTTCATATTGTTTAATTAAAAAATACTTCAGATCACAGTTATCAGTTTTATGGTTTTACCTTTCATATTTACATCTTTAATCCACATCTATATCTATATATGACTATTTATATATATGGACCAGTTTTCCCAACACCCAGTACTAAACAAAATCTTGTTTTCTTATGGATTTGTGGTGCTATTTTTATTTTCTAGCAAGTTGGCTAACCCATCTTTTACTAAGATTTAATACATTATAACCTCCAGTGCAATGATTTTCAAACTTTATAAACTGTGACTCACAGAAAGGAATACGTTTTACTTTGTAAAACACTTTACACATACATATATATGTAAAAATATCACCAATGAAAATTTTACAAATGATATTCTGGTGAATTGACTGTTTATGACATGTTCTGATATTTTCCATTATATTTTATTTCAGTTTTTTAAATTAATGTTTATCATGATGACATTAATGGGTTACAAGCTATAGCTTAAAAACATAGCTGCAGGAAGCTTTTTCATGAGCATCTTTCACATGCTTTCATTATGCTCTACATGTTCAATATTACTGTATTTTTGAGTAACACTGCTATTGTTATAATTAAATATCTGTCTCCTTTCTAGGTTGTGTGTCTCCTTGACCATTAGCGATAATACGTAATTTCTTTGTGTCTCTATCACCTAGCATCTGGCCCATAAATTTATTTGTACTATATTTTTGTAGAATTGATACTTCTAGAAAACTCATACTGAACATAACATGTCTAAAAAGTTCTCAACTTTGCATTTGTGTAGATTTTATTTTGAGGAAACTGCTTAGGCACATAGTAACATAAAGAAAGGAAACTTTTAATAATATATATTATGTTTTTTTGAGTTGTCCACGTATAATTTTCTCCTTTGCAGTACCGTAAATATTGTTAATGATCAAGAATAATATGTCAGAATAAAAGAAATGTGACTTTTTCTCAGGGAGAAAATAGGCCTTATTGTGCTAGTGGGAAATATTCTGTATATAAAATAAATCTTTCAGGCCAGTCATATTTTTATAGTTCTGTTAATAGAATTTTCCCTTCTGTTATCTTAAATTGTTGTTCTTTTTCAGTCATTATTCAATCTTTTGGAATTTAGAAGACTAGTTCTGAATTACAAGCCTCCATCAAATGTTCAAGATTTACCCCGAAACCAAAAGGTAAAATTATGAAAAATTTTTAAGCAGCGTATATATGGTTTTCATATTCTTTTATCTGTGTTTGCTTTTGGGAAATTTGCCAAATCAAATCTGAAATAGTGTCAAATTTGAATGTGAACCTATTAATCTCAGCTACAACAATAACTTCCTATCTTGGTTAGTATATTGTAATTATGAATTTTTCTTCACCTGTGTGTCAGTAATAGGCCAATTTTTTTGTTTCACTTTAGTAATTGCTTTCTTCTTTTTTTTGGATGTCAAATTTCAGTAAATTTTATAGGTTACCATTTACAATTCAAGGCCTTTACTCAGTTGCCTTCTGAAAAATTGTGTGGAAATCAAAAATTTATCAGTTATTTCTGTAGCTGAGCTCTTTAAAAGGTTAGTTTTGCACTGGTTGTCTTTGCAGTGCGAATCTATAACTTCTAATATTGTTAGGCAATATAATGTGACAGAGAACACAGGCATTAGGACCACATTTCCTGGGTTCTGGCTGTGGACCTGCTTGGTCTAGTTACTGCTCATTTTCCTTATCTGAAAAGCATAAATAATAAAAGCAGTTATTTTATAGAGTTGCTGTGAGAATTAAATGAGATAAAACACATAAAGGACTTAGAAGTACCTGGTACATAGTAAGTACTAGATGTCAGCTATTGCTAGTTATTATACTGTTCATATTAGCTTTTCAAAAGATAGGACTGATTTGCATGCAGAAATTCATACTTAATGAAAAAAATTAATTATGGAGATGATATCCTTGAGTGTAAGACTTCAGTGATCTTGTCATAAAGAAACTGTAGCCCTAAAGGGGACTGGTTGCAAAGACAAAGAAGTTATAGGTTTTAGTAAAGTGTTGAACTTTGTGTGACCTATTGTTAATAGTAATAATACATTATTAAATTATGTTTTCCTTTTAGTATCTAATGTTGAAAACTGCTTTTCCTGCAAACATGTGAAACATTTATAATGCTAGCTAGTGGGAATATAATTTGATTTTTAACCAGCTTTTCAGGCCGTAATCTTTGGCCATAAAGTGTCACACTGATAAGCCATTTTCAAAAGGGAAGCAAGATCACCTGACCAACTACTCATACTTCCAGAGAAATTAAGCAGACACCTTTAAGTCATTACAGTTTTTACATGAAACTTTTTGGACTGTTGCCTCCCTCTGTCACAATTTGGTTAGCTTGTTGTTCTGATGTCTTGGTTGAAGTATATTTATAATTCACATGATTATTTAGAATTATTACTTGCAATTTGAAAGATATCTAGATAATCCCCCTAGTACTTGGAAATTATTTACACCTCTAAATAATCCCAGGAACAAAGAACAAGTCAAAGAAGAAATTTCAGGGTATTCTGAACTGAATAAAAATTAAAACATGATGTATCAAAATTAGAGGGATTTAACTAAAACAGTGGTTAGTGGAAAATACATGAACTAAATGCCTTATTAGAAAATAAGAATTGTTTCAAATTAATGGCATCAGATTTTATCAAGAAATTAGGGGGGAAAATCTTGTTAATTTGAAAGCAGAAGAAAGGAAATAATTAAGACAAGTACATAAATCAATGAATTAAACATCAGGAAAACAGTAGAGAAAAATTAATGGAACCACAAGCTGCTTCTTAAGAAAGTTGGTAAAATTGATAACCTTCTAAGTAGACTGAGTAAGAAAAAAGAGAGAAGAAACAAATTACCAAAATAAAGAATGAAAGAGGGGCACATCACTGCATATTCTGTAGACAGTAAGAGAATAGTGGAATATTATACACAACAGGCAAATATTTAAAAAGCTAACAGCTGTTGAAACTGATGAAAAGATAGATAACCTGAGTATCTCTATATTATACTAAAGAAATTGAATTTTTAGTTAAGAACCTACCCACCAAAAAAAAAATCAATAGCAGCAAGGTTTATTGGTGAGTTATACCAAACATTTAAGGAAGAAATAATAGCAATTCTCCACATGTTTTTCCAGAAAATTGAAAAAGAGATAAAACTTCCAAATTTACTCTATGAGACCAGCATTACGCTGAAACCAAAAGTAGAAAAATATATTTCAAGAAAAGAAAACTACAGACCAATATTCCTCATGAATAATAGAAGAAAAAATTGTCAGATTTTTGGCAAGTTGGATGCTGTAGTACATATAAAGGATAATAATACCTCATTGGCAGGTGGAGTTTATCCAGGACTGAAAGATTGGTTTAGTGTTCAAAAATCAGTATAATTCATCATATTAACATATTAGACAAGAAGAGCCATATGACTATCTCAGTAGGTGAAGAAAAAGGATTTGAAGAAAGCTAACATATATTTATGGCAAAATCTCACAGAAACTAGGAATAGTAAAAAACTTTTTTATCCTGATAAAACTCATTTATGAGAAACTTACAACTAATTATAATACTTTATGGTGTAAGACTGAACCCTTTTCCTCAAAGATCAAGAACAAACAAGATGTCCCTCACCACTTTTCTATTAAACATTAGACTGGAGTTCTTAACCAGTGCTGTAAGGTAAGAAAAAGAAATAAGCATGCAGATTGGAAAAGAAGAAACAAAGCTGTCTTTTCATTTATATGACTGTCTATTTAGAAAATCCTAAGTACTCTACTAAAAAAAAAAAGATGCTAGAATCAAGAAGTGAGTTCATTCAGCAGCATTACATGATACAAGGCAAACATACAAAAATCAACTGTATTTCTTAATACTAGTAACACACAATTGGGAATTTAAATTAAAAAGTACTTATGTAAGACAGCATAAAATATGGAATATTAGAGATAAAGTAGACAAAAGATATGGAAAACTACAAAACATTGCTGAGAGAAATTAAAGAAATAAAGAGATATACTATGTTCATGGATCAGGGGATTCAGTTTTTTTAAGATATCAGTTGTCCCCACTTTAATCTGTAGAATCAGTGCAATCCAGTTATAATCCCAGCAGGCATTTTCATAGGAATTGACAAATTGATTGTAAAATCTATATGCAGAATCAAGGGATGTGGAATAGCCATAGCAGTTTTAAAGAGAAAGGCAGTGTTGGAGGAATTAATTATTTGGCTAATGATCAAGACACTGTTATTGGTGAAAAGATAGTCATACAGATCAGTAGAACAGAATAGAGAGTCCAGAAATAGAACAACACATATAGGGGTAATTCGTTTTAATCAGAGTTGCCAAAACAATTCAATGGTCAAAGGAAAATCAATAGAACAACACATATAGGGGTAATTCGTTTTAATCAGAGTTGCCAAAACAATTCAATGGTCAAAGGAAAATCTCTTAAACCAATGATGTCTTAGACAGAAAAATACTTTCCAACCTTTACAGGACACTATTTATGAAAAAAAAAAAAATCACAATGAACTATAGACCTAAAACAAAGAACTAAAACTATAAAAATTCTTGAGGAAAACATAGAAAATTTTAGGGTTCTGGATTAAGAGAAGATTTCTTAAGAAGGACAATAAACAGGCACAAATCATACAAGAAAAAAATTGATATTTTCATCAGAATGAAAAGCTTGTCTTTGAAAAATTCATACAAAATGAAAAGGCAAGCCACAGATTGGGAGAAAATATTAGCAAAACATATATCATACAAAGGAATTGTATCTAAAATATGTACAGAACTTTTACATCTCAATGGTAAGACAAGTAACCTATTACTATATTGGGAAAAATATCTCAACAGATTACAACACCAAAGAAGATACACAGATTGTAAATAACTACATGAAACGATGTTCAATGTTACTAGTCATTAGGCCAAATGCAAATTAAAATGAGGGGTGCCACTAGAAGAACTAAAGTTAAAAAATATAGCCCATATCCAGGTGTTTTAGAATGTGGACCTAGAACTCTCATTACACTGCCAGTGAGAATATAAAGTAGTTTAATGCCTTTGGAAAACAGTTTGTTTGTTTCTTAAAAACATCTACCATACAGCCTTGCCATTTCCCTTCAGTTCTTTACTCAAGAGGAATGAAACCATATGCCCACACAGAGCCACATCCAGTAATATCCACTGCAGCTGGAACAGGTTAATGGATAAATAAGTTGTGGTCTGTCCACACAATGGAATCCCACTCAGCAATAAAGTGGAATTAATTATTAATGTACATAAACATATGGATGAAGTTCAAAATAATTATGCGGATTGCAGGAAACCATTGACTAAAATGAGTACATAGAATATGATTTGATTTATATAAATTTCTAGAAAGTGTAAAGTAACCATGGTCACCTGGGAATGATTAGGGAGGGGAGTGAGGGATGAAGAAAGTTTTGGGGTTGATGGACAGGTATGTTATTGATTGTGGTGATACATTCATGGATGTATACATATGTGAAGCTTGTAAAATTGTACGCTTTCTAATGTACAGTATATTGTACATCAGTTATATCTTGATAAATCTGTTTTAAAAAAGATAAAGAATTGTGTTTGAATAATTTCTACATGTGGTGGTATTTTCATAATTTATGCAGTGGCTAGTCTTAACAGCAACCACTCATTTTGCCTTTTGAAATTCAAGATTTTCTAGCCACAGGAATTGGCTGAGAGCAAAAAATGTTTTAGTAAAGTATTTAACTTTTCACATATGCGTCTCAGCAGAATTTCACTTGATTTTCAAAAGTCATTTATTTCATTCTTGTCACTTGGCAAGAAATGTCTCAAAAAACTGCCTTGCCTTAGGTACAGTGATAAATGAAGAGATTGATCACAAGAAATTAAGGAGATTTCTGAAAATTATTTTATGGATTAAAATTTTTAACATTTACACCCTTGAAACCTGTTTATATAGGGCACTTGTTGGGGAATAGTAAGTACCACAGAAAAATCATGGATTAATTTTTTATCTCATTTAAAACTTTTGCATTTCATCTTTATCATCAATGATGGAATTTATTATGCTTAAATAAAATCCATGTTTTCTATAACTTAGCGTTTTTATGTTAGACTTTATGTACTTTCTGATTGCTGTAATGGGTATGTAGTTTTTAGATCAAATAAATATTTGGAATCAATTTTATTCCTTTACACCTATTAGGACTGCTCTTTAATATATTGTGGGAGCAACTGTTTCTTTATTAATTGATTATATTATTCTGGGTAACAACTGTACAGACACACACTGCTACAAAACTATGCAAACTTGGAAAATTTTTCTAATATTTAAATAGTATATGTAAGCTTTATCTGTTAAAATTGTTATTTCAGGAGCTAACCATAGTAAGAACTGCCTGTCTGATTTGTTACCATAATGTATTTCACTAAGACATGTGAATTACATTCTTATAAAAAGTTTTCTTATTTTAAAATAAATTGTTTGTGATTGATAATAGTGGGTTGTTTTTGTTCCTTATGGAAGAAGAAAAACAATAGTGAGTTTTCAAAGGAACACTAGAATGATGATACATTAGTCTAATATTAGGATCTAGTCTAATTACTTATTAGACTAATGTGTCTGATAATTAGGATTTTCACATAACAGTGGCAGTAGTGATTCATTGCTGAATGAAAAACATTAATTTCAGTAGATGTGGAGTTTGAAGAGATCATTGACTTGGAGGGGCCTGGGAAGGCTTCATGGAGGAGGGGGATTTTTGCTTAAATGGGTTTATTGAGCGTAAAGTACTTAAGTAGTGCCTGGCACGTGGTTAGCACTCATTGAATATTGGCTCTTGTTATTGCTGTCCTCAGCAGCAGCTGGGCTTTGCTGAATGGAAAGGATTATAATAAACAGACTTAAATGAGGATATTCTTGGCTGGGTAATGACATGATTTACTGTGAATATGTGGCATTTATTCTAAAATTGTGAGCTTAGTCTAGGTCCTCTGCTCTTTCCATGTTTGACTCCTTCTTTCAGTCTCCTAGATGACAAGATCACTCTTCCTTTTTTATGATAATAGGAGTGCTAGATTCATCCCTAATCTATATTAGTTAAATTTTTGGTTAATTTTAAAATGAGTATCTCTTTACCAGTAAAGATTTTAATCTTCACTTAAGGATTTTTTCTTTTTTTTCAATAGGAGCATCGGAATTTGCCTTTTATGCGTGAGCTTCGGTATCTATTTGCACTTCTTGTTGGTACTAAAAGGAAATATGTTGATCCATCAAGAGCAGTTGAAATTCTTAAGGATGCTTTCAAATCAAATGACTCCCAGCAGGTAGCTTTGTTGTGCTTACTAGTTCATTAACTTTTTTATTTAATCTGATCTTTTCTTAAGCAGTTTTTTTCAAAGATAAATGACAAAGATGTTGTCATTTATCTTTATACAAATAAGCTGGAGCCACTTAAAACATTGTTTATTTGGAAGATTTACTTTTAAATTAAGAAATAGTGATAATCTTGAAGGTATATGATAAATGAAGCTGTAATTTATATTATAATTAAAATTACTAAATGAAAGCAGTAGGTAAAATTCAGAATGTTCACAAATTTTTAATTAAAAATCTTCAAGGTGTGATAACCCAGTGTCAGTATAGTATACACGCTTTTGATATGCCTCTTTTTGCTGGCAGAAAGTAGTTTTCCATAATTACTCAGAAAAGGTTTCTGAATGACATTAACTTTGTTATTTTATTTTTCTTTTATTGCTCTTTTATTTCCCAATCTTTATGTAGTGCTGTTTGGTTGCTTTTTATCAATTTTTTAGAAAGAATATTGGGAATTTTCCTATAAAAATAGAAAATGTCTATAAACAAACCAACATTTTCACATATAATGTGAGAAGTCAGAGAAATTAAAGAAGGAAAGTGGAAGAGAAGGAAAGAAAGTAACAGAGAATAATAGCAACAGTGTTGGAAAAGATGACAGTGACATAATGGGCAAAAAATAAAGACGATACTTGAGAGGAGATTTAAAAAATCTGCTACGTTTGCAGTGTAGGTGTTGTAGTACTTGGATATATATCTGTTACATGGATGTGTGGAGAGCTGAAAGATGTCTGATTTTGCCACTGCCTTCCCTGTGCTTTTTTTTTTTTTAATTCACTTTTTATGGCAAAGATAAATGAACAAAAAAGGTGGTCACATCAGAATTTGCTTATATTTGTTGTTTTTCTCCCCCCCTAACATTTTCTTCTAAAGACTATTGGATAAGTAGGAAACCTTTTTGTTTCTTGTTAGATATAACCTTGCAGGGTAAGTAATGTTATAGAAAAGTATGGAAAGTCATTTTAAAGTCTTATATTAGTGTGCTAGGACAGCTGTAACAAATTACCACAATCCGAGTGATTTCAAGACAATAGAAAATGATTCTCTTATAGTTCTAGAAGCCAGAAGTTCAAAATAAAGGTGTTGGCAGGGCTGTGCTCCCTCCGGTGGCTCTCAAGGAGAATCCTTCCTGTTAAGGAAGTTGTCTTTATATGTTAAGTTTAGTTGTCTTTATATGGCTTTGGAGCAATTTATTTAAGCTTCCTAGACCTTAGTTTCAACATTTTAAAGGTAAATAGGTTGGCCCAGATGCTTTTCAAAAAACTTCTATCTGTGAAAATGTATAATAGTAAGATTGTTTTATATTTGGGACTATTTTGATAAAGGCAAATTGCTTACACTTATTTATCTGTCTTTGGGAAGTCATAGTAGGGTTGCTTTATCCCCCCAGCCCACCCCAGCCCACTCCACTCCCCATGCAGGTTCTATACAAACCTGTTTGCTATGCTCCAGGTCGGAGTGTTGAAAGAATTTTATGGTAGTTGACAAGTACAAATGCCACTGCTTATTCCTGTTTATCTATGTCAGGTAATCTAGGACCGAAGGGATGGCAAAAGGTGAAGTTTGTGCTGGTTCTGATTGGAGAATCAGTTCGAAGTTCATGAGGTGGTAGACTTGATAGTTGGGGAGTCAGTGATTAATTAGGCTCAACCTATCCAAATTAACAGATATCTTAGTAAAATCGGATATGGCTTAAAAAGTTGTGCGTTAACAGTTGAATTGAAAAAATGAATTGTTTAAAAACACATATTCCTTCTAAGACAGAAACCAGTAATAAATCATTCTATAATGAAGAACTCTTTGGTAACGTGGGTCCTTCATTTTATAAAGATTCATTAGAGAGCTCTTTGTGGGGAGGTAATAACTCTTTTTAAAAATCTCATTGATAAGTTTGAATTTATATATACACACACACACACACACACACATATTTTTTTCCCTCCTAAGGTGAAACCCAGTTACATGATTATGAATATAATGCTTGTTTTTCTCAAATATTGATTTTATGCTCTGGTTAAGTTATAAATATTTCTTGCATTTGCTGTGAAACATTTCAGATGATACCGTTGTGAGGAGTCAGTTAATTATACATTTGAAAAGACTGGCTATAAGTTTTATGTTGCAGTATTTAGTGTTTTCATTGGTAGGCTCGAATATCAACAAGACTTTTTTTTCCCCCCACAGCAAGACGTGAGTGAGTTTACACACAAATTATTAGATTGGTTAGAAGATGCCTTCCAAATGAAAGCTGAAGAGGAGACGTAAGTTATTGTGAAATTTAGTGATGGAGATAAATTAGGAGATCAATAAATAGCACTCATTTTTTTTTTTATGTATTCAGTGTCAACAGAGAAATAAGAATCTGAGATAAGTGTGTGGAAACCCAAATGTTATCTGTATTTTTGACAAACTCTTTGGAATTTATGGCCGCAAATGTTGGGTAGCTTTAGATGTCCAATATAAGGTCAATCTAGTGAGAGATATCTAAGAAGTGATCTCTGAAAAAGCTAACCCCACATCCTCAGTTCTTATTCCATGAAGTCATATTCCATGAAGAAGAATGGGTCAGTGGTAGGGAAACATGCCAGGAGTAATAATTCTGATGAAATCTTTTTACATGGAATCGTGAGGACATTCATGATTCCTTCCATGTAAAGTTTCTTTTTAACATTCCCTGGGGCTTTTTATTTTGTGCCCATTTGGTTGAACCACTAAGACTCTGGTCATTTAAAATATATGGGCAGACCTCCTTAAGGGAAGAAGTTCACACACTTTCAGGGTGGTCCTACTCCCACTCTTCTGAGGCCACTCTCCTAACACCAAACATTGGTTCCTTTGTGCATCTTCCTGAAACATTGGTGGACCATTTAGGATTTGCCACCACAGATTCTGATATGATTCTACAAGATGCATTACGTAAATTAACACCTAGAATACAGGCAAAAATCCAAGGCTGAAAATTCTTTCCTTCTCTTTTTATCTATTTTTGTTCTTATTTGTTCTTCTTCCAGTTTTATTGAGATATAATTGACATAACAGCACTGTGTAAGTTTGAAGTATACAGCATAATTATTTGACTTACATACATCATAAAATGATTACCACAATAAGTTTAGTGAACATCCATCATCTCATATAGGTAATATAAGAAAAAGAAAAAAATATTTATTCCTTGTGACGAGAGCTCTTAGAATTTATTCTTACAAATTTCAAATATAACATACAGCAGTGTTAATTGTATTAATCATTTCAGTACTTATTTATCTTATGACTGGAAGTTTGTACCTTTTGACCGCCTTTGTCATCATACAAAGATATTTGGTTATTATTGACTGTATTCCCCATGCTGTACATCCCTGTGACTCACTTATTTTGTAACTAGAAGTTTCTACCTCTTAATTTCCCTCAGCTACTTCACTCATCCCCCGCCACCATCCACTTTCCTACTGGCAACCATCTGTTTGTTCTCTGTATCTATGACTCTGTTCTGTTTTTTGTTTGTTCATTTGTTTTTTAGATTCCATATATGAGTGAAATGATACAATATTTGTCTTCCTCTGTCTGACTTATTTCACTTAGCATAATGTCCTCTAGGTCTATCCGTGTTGTCACAAATGGCAAGGTTTCATTCTTTTTTTATGGCTGAATAATATTACATGGAATGTGTATATACACACACACACACACACACACACAGACTCACACATCTTTATCCATTTATCTATCAGTGGACACTTAGGTTGCATCTGTATCTTAGCTATTGTGAATAATGCTGCAATGAACTTACAGGTGCATATATCTTTTTGAATTAGTGTTTTTGTTTTCTTTGGATAAGTATCCAGAAGTGGAATTGCTGGATCATATGTGGTAGTTCTGTTTTTAACTTTTTGACAGCCTCCATACTGTTTGGCATAGTGACTGCACCAATTTACATTACCACTAAGAATGCATGAGGGTTCCCTTTTCTCCACATTTTCACCAACGCTTGTTGTTTGCTGTCTTTCTTGTTTGTTTAGCCTCCATATGTTTGTGTTTTTACATTTTTTTCCCTGTAGTTTATTTCTAATCTCATAGAGTTGTGGTCAGAAAAGATGCTTGATATAATTTCAATTTTCTTAAATTTACTGAGGCTTGATTTGTGACCCAACATGTGATCTATCCTGGAGAATGTTCCACGTGCACTTGAGAAGAAAATGTAATCTGCTGTTTTCAGATGGAATGTCCTATAATATCAATTAAATCTATCTGGTCTATTGTGTCATTGAAGCTTGTGCTTCCTTATTAATTTTCTGTCTGGATGATCTGTCCATTGGTGTAAATGACATGTTAAAGTCCCCCACTATTATTGTGTTACTGTCGATTTCCTCTTTTATAGTTCTTAGCATTTGCCTTATGTATTGAGGTGCTCCTATGTCAGGTGCATATATATTTATAATTGTTATACGTTCTTCTTGGATCGATCCCTTGATCATTATGTAATGTCCTTCCTTGTCTCTTGTAACATTCTTTATTTTAAAGTCTATTTTATCTGAAATGAGTATTGCTACTCCAGCTTTCTTTTGATTTCCATTTGCATGGAATATCTTTTTCTATCCCCTCACTTTCAGTCTGTATGTGTCCCTAGGTCTGAAGTGGGTGTCTTGTAGACAGCATATAGATGGGTCTTGTTTTTGTATCCATTCAGCAAGCCTGTGTCTTTTGGTTGGAGCATTTAATTCATTTCCATTTAAGGTAATTATCGGTATGTATGTTCCTATTACCATTTTCTTAATTGTTTTGGGTTTGTTTTTGTAGGTCCTTTTCTTGTGTTTCCCACTTAGAGAAGTTCCTTTAGCATTTGTTGTAGAGGTGGTTTGGTGGTGCTGAATTCTCTTAGCTTTTGCTTGTCGGTAAAGCTTTTGATTTCTCCATTGAATCTGAATGAGATCCTTGCTGGGGAGACTAATCTTTGTTGTAGGTTCTTCCCTTTCATCACTTTAAATATGTCCTGCCACTCCCTTCTGGCTTGTAGAGTTTCTGCTGAGAAATCAGCTGTTAACCTTATGGGAGTTCCCTTTTATGTTATTTGTCGTTTTTTCCTTGTTGTTTTTAATAACTTTACTTTGTCTTTAATTTTTATCAATTTGATTACTATGTGTCTCAGCGTGTTTCTCCTTGGGTTTATCCTGCCTGGGACTCTCTGTGCTTCCTGGACTTGGGTGGCTATTTCCTTTCCCATGTTAGGGAAGTTTTCAACTATAATCTCTTCAGATATTTTCTTGGGTCCTTTCTAGGTCTCTTCTCCTTCTGGGACCCCTATAATGCGAATGTTGTTGGCGTTTAATGTTGTCCCAGAGGCCTCTTAGGCTGTCTTCATTTCTTTTCATTCCTTCTTCTTTATTCTGTTCCATGGCAGTGAATTCCATCATTCTGTCTTCCACGTCACTTATCCATTCTTCTGCCTCAGTTATTCTGCTATTGATTCCTTCTAGTGTATTTTTCATTTCAGTCATTGTGTTCTTCATCTCTGTTTGTTTGTTCTTTAATTCTTCTAGGTCTTTGTTAAACATTTCTTGCATCTTCTCAATCTTTGCCTCCATTCTTTTGCTGAGGTCCTGGATCATCTTCACTATCATTATTCTCAGTTCTTTTCCTGGAAGGTTGCCTATCTCTGCTTCATTTAGTTGTTTTTCTGAGATTTTATCTTGTTCCTTCATCTGGTACATAGCCCTCTGCCTTTTCATTTTGTCTATCTTTCTGTGAATGTGGTTTTCGTTCCACAGGCTGGAAGATTGTAATTCTTCTTGCTTCTGCTGTCTGCCCTCTCGTGGCTGAGGCTATCTAAGAGGCTGTTGCAAGCTTCCTGCTGGGAGGGACTGGTGGTGGGTAGAGCTGGGTGTTGCTTTGCTATCTTTTTGATAATAGCCATTCTGACAGGTGTGAGGTGATATATCATTGTGGTTTTGATTTGCATTTCCCTGATGATTAGTGATGTTGAGCATCTTTTCATGTGCCTGTTGGCCATCTGTATGTCTTCTGAGAAAAGTCTCTATTCAGCTCCTATGCCCATTTTCTTAATTAGGATTTTTAAAATTTATATATATTGAATTGTATGAGTTCTTTGTATATTTTGTATATTAACCCCTTATCAGACATATCATTTGCAAATATCTTCTCCCATTTAATAGGTCGCCTTTTCATTTTGATAATAGTTTCCTTTACTCTGCAGAAGCTTTTTAGTTTGATGTAGTCCCATTTGTTTATTTTTGCTTTTGTTTCCTTTGCCTGAGGAGACATATCCAAAAAATTGTTGCTAAGCCAAAGAGCCTACTGCCTGTGTTTTCTTCTAAGAGTTTCATGGTTTCAGGTAGTCATTAATAGATTTTAAGTTTATTTTTGTATATGATGTAAGAAAGTGGTTTGATTTAATTCTTTTGCATGTAGCTGTCCAGTTTTCCCAACACCATTTACTGAAGAGGTTTCTTTTCCCTATTGTATATTCTTGCCTCCTTTGTTATACATTAATTGAGCATATAAGTGTGGGCTTATTTCTGGGCTCTCTGTTCTGTTCCATTTATCTACCTGTCTGTTTTTGTGCTGGTACTATACTCTTGATTTCCATAGCTTTGTAGTAGTATAGTTTGAAATGAGGAAGCATCATACCCTTGGTTTTAGCTAACAATGTTTTTACATATATCTATTCTTTTTCAGATTCTTTTCCCATATAGGTTATTACAGAGTATTGGTTAGAGTTCCCTGGGCTATACAGTAGGTCCTTGTTGATTATCTATTATATGTATAGTAGTGTGTATATGTTAATCACAACCTCCTGATTTATCCCTTCCCCTCCACCTTTCCCCTTTGATAACCATAAGTTTGTTACCTATTTCTGTGAGCCTGTTTCTGATTTTTAAAGTTCATTTGTATCATTTTTTTAGATTCTACATATAAGTGATATTGTATGATACTTGTCTTTGTCTGACTTACTTCACTTAGTATGATAATCTCTACTCCATCCATGTTGTTGCAGATGGCATTATTTCAGTATTTTTTATGGCTGAGTAATATTCCATTGTATATATGTACCCCATGTTCTTTATCCATTCATCTGTCAGTGGATATTTAGGTTGCTTCCATGTCCTGGCTATTGTAAATAGTGCTGCATTGAACACTGGGGTGCATGTATCTTTTTGAAATATGGTTTTCTCCGGATATATGCCCAGGAGTAGGGTTGCTGGATCATATGATAGCTCTACTTTTAGTTTTTTAAGGAACCTTCATA